ATCAGCTTCATGGTCTGAGAAAATTGAAATATTGCTTTCATGTGATAATAACTGGGTTCCTCATCTAGTTGAAAAAAAAGTCTCCTGACTGATAGCGCTGATGTCCCACATTATCAAAATCTTTAAGAAAGTCTTAAGAAGCAAGACTGCTAATCCCATGGAATCAACAGTTGCACAACCCAGGTCGCTTTTGCCTCTCCCAGTTGTCTGACCAATACAACATGGTCTTAGATGCGGTGGATGACAAGCAAAATGCAGATGTAGATTACACTGACTGCAAAAGCCTTTGGTAAGTGTGATCATGGTGTAAAACTCACAAAATGCGTGCAAAAGGAATAACTGGAAAGGGGGCTGCTATAGTGTAAATCTGTTTCCCCAGTTTACAATACTGGTCCCCTGTTCTCTCTCATTCTGTCACAACGTAAATAGAGGCATAAATCATAGCACCGTATCGTCTTTTGTAGACGATACTAGTCTGGAAGACTACGGTTGCCTGGTCCCAAACCTGCACACTGCCATAACAACATACTGGGGCGAGAAATATAGTAGGAAGTGCAAAATAAACCTAGTGAAAAGTAAGTGTGCAGTGAGCACAAGGGAACACTGTATCAACATTCGTGGCCCAGATTACTCAACATCTTAGCAGAAGACATCAGAAACACTTCTGGAACAAGTGTAGACGTCTTCAAGAGAAAACTGAACAAGTATCTTCATCAGGTGCCGGATCAACCAGGCTGTGATGGATATGTGGGTCGGCGGGCCTTTAGCAGCAACAGCCTGGTTGACCAGGCTAGCACAAGACGAACCTGGCCAATGGCCAGGCTCGGGAGTAGAAAGACGCGAAACTCACCAAAAGTAAGGTAAAGATATACCAACTCTAAGGCTGGAGTGATTACTTTGTCTTTTGTATGTAGTTCTACTGTCCTCCCGTTCTGTTCTTGATTTTTTTTTATAAAGCCACTGGTATGCGAAACATCTACAATAAAGATATCCAGATGTTGTACATATGTACAGTTTTTCACTCTGCTTGATGTTGCGTATATTTAACGTTCAGTGGGCTGGAATTATACAATAAGGGGATACCTTTCTCGTATAACACAGCGACATAAATACATGTAGTTTATTATTATTATTATTATTATTATTATTATTATTATTATTATTATTATTATTATTATAAAGATAGAGCAGGTTCTCTCAAACAAGGATATTACCTCTGTGGAAATTTATTCTTACTATTTTCCATCCTTTCCCCCACACTTGCGTCCCTAGAATGTACTTGTCATATAGAATATGGTAACAGCACATCGTTCTTGTAATATTTTCTTAAACAAGTAAAATAAAACTTTTACACCTATTACAAGTGGGTGTAAACCTGAAGAACAGGTACTCCTTCACAACTATCCAGTAGTATCAACATTCTCAACATAAATTTGTCTTCAACTACAATATAGGTATGCATACGTTGCTCTTTTAATACTCTTCCTACAACACAAGTAGCATCGATCATGTTTACCAATAGGTGTATGAATGTTTTTTGAACCTAACTGCTCTTCGCTCCATGATTTTTTTTTTGTATTAAGACTGCTGAACATAACCGGTATTTATTTTTTAGTTGACTAGGACTCCTTCAGTGCCGACATCATTGTACGAAAACATAATAGTCAACAAAGTTTTGGGCGTAGATTTACTGGCCCAGGAGGAATGACACTGGAAGGTACACAACAACCATTTGGTTGTATATGTTTGAACCCTTTGTGAGAGTGACGAGCTGGAGGGGAGAGGATGGTGACGCCTTGGTGACTTAACACACCAGTCTTGAGACACTGTGTACCCCCACACAGTCCTGCTCGGAGCTTTTGTCTTCATAGTCTGCAACAGCTACTTTTTACCAGACCCATAGTGTAAACAGTATCAATGCCCAAAGTATCAACACCCACGTATTAACATTCGCAGTATCAACGCTCACCGTATCAAGAACAGTATCAACACCCTTAGTATTAAGACCCTTAGTGTCAACACAGTATCAACACCCTCTTACATGTCTGCCTGGAGGGTGTTCCGGTCCATGACCAGGCCTCGTGGTGGATTAGGGCCTGATCAACCAGACTGTTACTGCTGGCCGCACGCAATCTAACGAACGAACTTCATTCAGCCAGGCTGGTCAGGTACTGACGATAGGTATCCGTCCAGCTCCCTCTTGAAGATAGCGAGGGGTCTTTTGGCAATACCCCTTAAGTATGCTGGGAGGTAGTTGAACAGTTTTTGGCCCCTGACACTTATTGTGTTATCTAGTAGCGTACTCGCGTCACCATGCTTTTCATTGGGGGGATGTTGCACCGCCTGCCGAGTCTTTTTCTTTCGTAGGGAATGATTTCCGTGTGCAGATTTGGGACAAGTCCCTCTAGGATTTTCCAGGTGTAAATTATGTTGTACCTTTCTCACCTACTTTCCAAGGAGTACTGGTGAAGGGACTTTAAACTGTAAGTTGTTGAGGTGCTTGAGTGTACTACTTATACGTACAGTGAAAGTTCTCTGCATAATCTCCAGATTGCAGTTTCGCCTGCCTTGAAAGGGACCGTTAGTGTACAGCAGTACTCCAGCCTAGGGAGAATAAGTGATTTAAAGGGAATCATCATTTGCTTGACATCCGTTGTTTTGAAGGTTTTCATTATCCATCCTAACATTTTCCTAGATGTGATAATGGCATTGTTGTGATTTTTGAAAGTGAGATCCTCTGACACTATCACTCCCAAGTTCCTCACGTTAGTTTACCGCTCTGTTGTGTGGTCAATATCACCATCACTCAGGGACACAGGGTGGTAGTTTTTATTTAGTACCGCTACTTACGAACTAAGAGACTTGAGTAGGGCACTGAGGATATCAAGTATTCCATTATGGGTTCAGTAGACACGGCAGCTTCAAAGATTTTGTTGCAGCAGCACTCAGTTAATTGGTGGTGGCCCGGTGGCCTGGTGGCTAAAGCTCCCGCTTCACATACGGAGGGCCCGGGTTCGATTCCCGGCGGGTGGAAACATTCGACACGTTTCCTTACACCTGTTGTCCTGTTCACCTAGCAGCAAATAGGTACCTGGGTGTTAGTCGACTGGTGTGGGTCGCATCCTGGGGGACAAGATTAAGGACCCCAATGGAAATAAGTTAGACAGTCCTCGATGACGCACCGACTTTCTTGGGTTATCCTGGGTGGCTAACCCTCCGGGGTTAAAAATCCGAACGAAATCTTATCTTACGCAGATTTTATCATCACAAAGCAAGGCAACCATTTTTTTTGTGTATTTGAGAGAAAAGGAAAGATTTACTACTACATTCTTATTACTTTTATTATTTACGGCTACATTTTTTTTAAATTTATTGTTATTTATGCCTACATTTTTATTTACTGTTCCTTGTTAGACAGCTGCTTGTTACCCTTCACTTGAATATCAAACACTGAGTGTTCTTACACAACACCACAGTGTTCTTACACAACACCACAGTGTTCTTACACAACACCACAGTGTTCTTACACACCACAGTGTTCTTACACACCACAGTGTTCTTACACACCACAGTGTTCTTACACAACACCACAGTGTTCTTACACACCACAGTGTTCTTACACAACACCGCAGTGTTCTTACACAACACCGCAGTGTTCTAGCAACACCAGTGTTATAACACCACAGTGTTCTAACACCACAGTGTTCTAACGCAACACCACAGTGTTCTTACACAACACCACAGTGTTCTTACACAACACCACAGTGTTCTTACACAACACCACAGTGTTCTTACACAACACCGCAGTGTTCTTACACAACACCGCAGTGTTCTAGCAACACCAGTGTTATAACACCACAGTGTTCTAACACAATACCACAGTGTTATAACAATACCACAGTGTTATAACAATACCACAGTGTTACACAACGCCACAGTAGTGTTCTTACACACAGCACATCGCAGCAAGACTGCAGTGTTCTAACAAATTGTTTTTCCTTCCTGTCACTCACAAAAGTCTGTTAACTCGAGTATTGTTTTAACTGTTAGCTGGGTAAGGGTAGTGAAGGGCAGAGGGGGTAGAAGGTGAATTTATGCTGAGGTAACTTATGTTGTTCCTACTTATGCTGAGGTAAGTGTGGTATTGTCACTATCAGTTGTCGCTCTCATTCAAGCGCTGAGTATACTTGCACTTTCCTATTCCAGGGTTATTTATTTACTTTTCCCTCTGATTCCAGTGAAAAACAGCTTCAAAGAGAGAGGGTCTAGTTCTTCCGTAGACTAGGACTTAAGTATCTGGAGAACAGCAGCATAGTATACAATTCACGTGTATTGCAGAGTATCACTGTTGGTGTGTACTTACTGACCTGGAGAACACAGCGTCGTACACAAGGTCACGTGTATTGCAGTGTATCAGTGTTGGTGTGTACCTACTGACCTGGAGAACACAGCGTCGTACACAAGGTCACGTGTATTGCAGTGTATGTGTTGGTGTGTACCTACTGACCTGGAGAACACAGCGACGTACACAAGGTCAACGTGTATTGCTGTTGTCAGTGTGTTTACAGACGCAGCATTGTGTTCCCAGGTACCAGGTTTGTGGCAGTCATGACGGGTCATTTTTAAGATAGTTAAATTCCCAGCATCACCCATGTTAAGATAGATTAATTTCCAGCGTCATTCATGCTAAGATAGGTTAATTCCCTGCATCATTAATGTTAAGGTATCTCATCTAAACCACCTCCCCTCCCCATCTGAACCACCTCCCCTCCCCATCTGAACCACCTCCCCTCCCCATCTGAACCACCTCCCCTCCCCATCTGAACCACCTCCCCTCCACATCTGAACCACCTCCCCTCCACATCTGAACCACCTCCCCTCCCCATCTAAACCACCTCCCCTCATCTAAACCACCTCCCCTCATCTAAACCACCTCCCCTCATCTAAACCACCTCCCCTCCCCATCTAAACCACCTCCCCTCCCCATCTAAACCACCTCCCCTCCCCATCTAAACCACCTCCCCTCCCCGTCTAAACCACCTTCCCTCCCCATCTGAACCCATAGTCTTTGCCTAAACCATATCCCATTCCCTTCTAAACACGTGACCACTGCTTTAATCCATTATTCCCGGTGCTTATTCGTTCCTCTTCCTCAACGATGTTATTGTCTACAAAATGTTTATGGTAATGCACATTATACTTATTTTTTTTTTGCATGTATATACAGCATGCCATTTTTTATTTTGGTTTCATAATCGCACCTTCTTGATTGGAATATTTATTTGCAATAAGGAGGTGGTAAGTAGCTTAGTGGTGAGACCATATGGCTCATACCCTTAAAATTATAAGATGTCGGCTAAATGTATGGGCACGTTTTCATAACACCTGTGTCTGTCTAGCACAGTGATTCTCAACCAGGGGTAAATGTACCCCTTGGGGGTAAAAAAATTACATGGCAAGGGGCAAATATTTGATGTAAAAAACCTGAATAATTTTTTTTTCTGACCTTGTTTTTCTTTCTCTTTACGATGGCGATAATTTTTTTTGTATGGAAGTAAGGGGGTAAATCGAGAAATACATCAAGTCGAGGGGGTTAATGAAATAGGAAAAGTTGAGAATCCCTGGTCTAGCAGCAAGCATAATTAACAGTGTGCTAGCAAACTGTTGTTGCTCATAATGAAGAAAAAAATTTCTATGCATTTATATTAGAAGCTCTAATATAAATGCATAGTATTTATATTAGAACTTCTAACAGGCAACTATGGCACTGTCCGTTTCATAGTTGCCTGTTTCATCATGGATCTGTAATGCTATAGTGAGATGTCGACATCTGGGGTACGTGAAAGTTGAAGCCACAGGATTTTCACAATGAAAGCCTACTTTTGTGACACACACAGTCTTCCTTGATATCTTTTTAAATATTTCATCCAAGTGAAAGTGTTTCATGTGCTTTGATCTTTCCATATGTAATTTTTCATACATAAAAAAAAAGAATATTAGCTCTTGTTCCGTCACAAAGGAAAGTTGTTCTTGTTCTCTGATTAGTTCACTTCACTCCACAAGGGGGGCAGTAAAGCAATAGCAAAGGACTACAGACCAACAACGCTAACGTCTCGTATCATAAAAAATCTAGATACTCATCAGTTACACAACCCAGGGCAGCATGGGTTTAGAGCATGTCGCTCCTGTCTGTCCCAGCTACTGGACCACTATGACAAGGTCCTGGATGCTTTAGAAGACAAAATGCAGATGTAATATACACAGACTTTGCAAAAGCCTTTGACAAGTGTTACCATGGTGTAATAGCGCACAAAATGCGTGATAAAGGAATAACAGGAAAAGTTGGTAGATGGATCTATAATTTCCTAACAAATAGAACACAAAGAGTAGTAGCAAACAGAGTAAAGTCTGAGGCGGCTACAGTGAAAAGCTCTGTTCCACAAGGCACAGTACTCGCTCCCATCTTGTTCCTCATCCTCATAACTGACATAGACAGGGATACAAGCCACAGCGCTGTGTCTTCCTTTGCAGATGACACCCGAATTTGCATGACTGTCCTCCATTGAAGACACTGCAAGACTCCAGGCGGACATCAACCAAATCTTTAAACGGGCCAAAGAAAACAGTATGAAATTCATTGATGAGAAATTTCAATTACTCCGATATGGAAAACGTGAGGAAATTAAAACTGCATCGGAATATAAAACAAATTCCAACCACACAATAGAGCGAAAAACAAATGTAAAAGACCTGGAAGTGATCATGTCAGAGGATCTCACCTTCAAAGACCATAACATTGTATCAATTACATCTGCTAGAAAAATGACAAGATGGATAATGAGAACCTTCAAAACTAGGGATGCCAAGCCCATGATGACACTCTTCAGGTCGCTTGTTCTATCTAGGCTGGAATATTGCTGCACACTAACAGCACCTTTTCAAGGCAGGTGAAATTGCTGACCTAGAAAATGTAGAGAGAACCTTCACGGCACACATAAATGTGATAAAACACCTCAGTTACTGGGAACACTTGAAGTTCCTCAACCTGTACTCCCTAGAACGCAGGCGGGAAAGATACACGATTATATACACGTGGAAAATCCTAGAGGGATTAGTACCAAATTTTCACACGAAAATCACTCCTTATGAAAGCAAAAGACTCGGCAGACGATGCAACATCCCCCCAATGAAAAGCAGGGGTGTCACTAGCACGATAAGAGACAACACAATAAGTGTCAAGGGCCCAAGACTGTTCAACTGCCTCCCAACATACATAGACCCCTGGCTGTCTTCAAGCAGGCACTGGACAGACAACTAAAGTTAGTACCTGACCAGCCGGGCTGTGGTTCGTACGTCGGTTTACGTGCGACCAACAGTAACAGCCTAGTTGATCAGGCCCTGACCCACCATGAGGCCTGGTCACGGAGACCCCCGAAACCGTCTCTAGGTATACTCTAGACAGCTCAATTAATTTGTCATTAGCCATAGCTATTGACAAGTTATTGTATAGCTATTAACTCTAGCCAAAGAGGGTTAATCGTTAGCAAAATAGGGTAATAATTGAACAAAATTAAGCAGCTACAGTGGAAACAAGTGAGCGTGTAGTACATATATATGTTCTTTGTGGCCACTCAGTAAACTGGTGTGGCAAAAATAAGTAGTCTCGTAATTTTGTCCTGACCAAAAGAGGTGCCGGACCATCCATTACCGTTGTCAGGAAATTCATCACATCTTTATGTAGTTCATATGATGGCAGATGAGTGGGAATCATTTGATTACTAATAGCTACTGTTTTAGCCATGGGGATACATCCAGCCCGAATCTTGCGTCAGAGGAGTATACCTCCTCCAGCAGTCCTAGTGCAACTGTGTAAAGGACACGAGACCCAGGAGGAAGAGGCACGACCTGCATGTAAGGTCCGCATGTGGTGTGAGGACACAAGTTTCTGTGAGTGGAAAGATAGAGAGTGGTGGTGTAGGGGCATGGAGGGTGGAAGGAACATGCCACAGGTGGTAACAATTATGGTCTACATGATGCTGTGCCTGCTGCTGGTGCTGAGCGCAGTGTTCATGTCGTGCTTCTCCGTTGTCTCAGGTACACACTGTCTTCACTAACCTTGCCTACCCAATTCATGTTTCATTCACTGACTGTACTATCATGCTTGCTGGATTGTTTCTTACAGCAATTATACGTTTCCAAAACAAACACAAAAGCACACAAACAAAAACAAAAAAACACACACACACACACACACACACACACACACACACACACACACACACACACACACACACACACACACACACACACACACACACAGCGATCAGTGAAGAGGCAGGGCCAGGAGCTGAGTCTCGACCCCTGCAACCACAATTAGGTTGTACCTCTGTATGTGTGCTCAAATTGTAAATAAATAAAATAAATAAATAAATACAATTAGGTGAGTACACACACCAAGACAGGATGTTCCAGAGATTGGACACAGTAACAAGGGGACACAGTTGGAAGTTGAAGATAGATGAATCACAGGGATGTTAGGAAGTATTTCTTCAGCCACAGAGTAGTCAGTAAGTGGAATAGTTTGGGAAGCGATGTAGTGGAGGCAGGATCCATACATAGCTTTAAGCAGAGGTATGATAAAGCTCACGGTTCAGAGAGAGTGACCTAGTAGCGATCAGTGAAGAGGCGGGGCCAGGAGCTCTGACTCGACCCCCGCAACCTCAACTAGGTGAGTACAACTAGGTGAGTACACACACACACACACACACACACACACACACACACACACACACTAGCCAGCTTCCATATAATAAGTTAATTTACATTCCTTCATCTCTCTCTATCATCCCATCTTATTTCTCTCCCTTTATATTCCTGATGTGCTCTCTCCCACACATCTTTTCCCCTCCCCTTTTCCTCTCTATTTTCCCATCACCTCTTTTTCCCCTCATTGTCTCCCTCAACTCCTCAAGGGAGGTTCCTTGATGCCGGTGAGGGGCTCTTGTTCTACGGAATTAGATCTGTGGTCTGGTTCCCTGAATTGACCCTGAATACCTTCCAGTAAATATTTGTTTATGTATTTCTCCAGTGATAGTATTTATTTATATATGTAGCATATCATATAGTATTCTACTTACGATGGGTTCATCAGAACATAACCCCAACGTAAGTCGAGAAGCACCCATAATCTGTTATCCTCAGATCCTTCCTCATATAATTCGAGTCTTTTTTCATTTTTCAGCCACTGTGTTCCTCTCAACTCTCACCCCTAAGTTCTACGTGGCACTAACAGGAACCTCCTCCCTAATATCTGGACTTATTTTGGTGAGTATTACATACAGCCGCTGTCCATTTATATATTGTTACCTTTCAGTTTTCTTCATACAAGAATGCTTGCTAAGTGCAATATCCCCATCACAGAAATATTGTTGGAGTCTTCTTGTACAGGATGGCAGTCAGTGGCTTATTATACCTTGTAGAAATGGTTAGAGAGAAAGGGTTAGTCTCTTATATTTAAAAAGACTTGTGGGTACTTATTACTAAAATCTTATTGCTAAAAGTTACATTGTTTTTATTATGTAAGCTGACACAACTTGTGAGTACTGCAAGTTATAATTAATGTATTTACACTAAAGCCAACATGTAAATGCTCTAATATCATGCATTTTAATTCTACTGGTGCTACCACTCTGTTCCCGTACAATAATACATTATCGTATATATTCATATCTGTACACAGATAGCCCACACGTGGTTCCAAAATTAGAGAAATTCCTAACAAATTTACAATAGTATATGTCCATTCCCACAAAGGACTGAACTTTACCTATGAACTTAGGGGACTGTAAATTTACAATAACCTCAATCTTCTTAGGAGAAGGTTTAATACCGTCCCCTGAAATCTCATACCCCAAACATTCAATAGATCTGGTTTTTCAACACTTGATTTATTCTTATTCAGTACTACATTATGTCTTTGTAAATCTTTAACACCTGCCTGAATCTAGCATCATGCTCAGCTTCTGTGGCACTACATATGTGATTCCAATTTAACAGACAATTGGGAAATAAATTTTTGGAAGATGCCAGATGAAGAAATTCCAAAGGGTTAGTCTCTTATATTTAAAAAGACTTGTGGGTATTTGTTACTAAAATCTGTTGGCTCCTCTCAGCTACTGGTGTCTGCAGATATTCATCTTTCAAATCTAATTTTGTAAATATCTTACCATTACCCACTACAGACAATAATTCTTCAATCCTGGGTAAAGGATAGCTTTCACAATGAATATGTTAATTTACATATTTAAAATCCCCACATCTCCTCATAGACTAGAGTCAGCCTTTAATACAGGTACAATAGGTGCAGACTGCTCACTATGGGAAATAGGCTCAGTAATCCCTCCCTTTACCAACTTTTCTAATTCTGTTTCAGTCATTTCTTTGTGAAAAAATGGTACCAGCCTAGTTTTCATAAACTTAGGGACAGAATCACTTTTCACATGAATTGTGGCCATAGTGCTAGAGATAGCCTTACAAAAATTTACTTTAATTATATTAACATTTCTTTAGCACTATCAAGTTTATTAATTTTGGTAGAGTCATCTAATCCAGCAAGATAAATTGCTACTTTTAATCACAAGGTCTCTGCCACACAAGTTGACTTCATTACATAGAATACTTGTGATACCTCTTAAGTTATTATTGCATTATGGCAAAACAACCTTTCCCAGAAGGTTAATTTTCCAATTATCATATGCAGTTACCTTCCTAGAACATGGTTCAATGTGCCTTTTTAATGCTTCAACCCAGTCTTTTGATAATGTCAAGAGGGATGCCCGCATGTCATTTTCAGAAGGAACCTGTTTTTGATTAATCACAAAGCCATATTGTTTAGCTTTCATAAAAAACATTTTATCCTCCACAGCATATAAACTCATCATGCTCTTGTCTACTGAACTATTGTCCCCCTCAAGCACCTTAACCGTCTTTGTTCTAGGATATCTTGGTGACTACTATTTCATTATTGTTCCCTCTTTGTCACTATGCCATTTTTATACATCTTTAGGATAAACTTTAGATGCTTCTTTACACATACTTTTCAAGTGACCCTTCTTATGACACAAGTGACACAAAAACTCTCCTGAAGTCCCCCAGATCATAAAGTCCCCCCGGATCATAAAGTCCCCCGGATCACAGCAACAACAAAACAATAGACGATCAAACATAAACAAGATAACAACATAGGATTTAATTCTGTCTCTGTTCCAACATCTTATACCTTCCTCAGTGGGAGACAACCGGAAAGTTTAAAACTATAAATAATAGTAATATTTGTGCATCTATCTAAAAATGTGTTCCTTTTTTTAAGAACGAATTTATAAGTGGGTTTATAAAAGGCTTATAGTCAAACAAACAAACAGAAAATAAGTTAATGTAGTGAAGGTAATGATAAAGTAAGTCAATTTAGTTAATGTAAACTAAAATTTAAAAGCGGTTTTTATTTTACTGTAAATCTGAATCTCTCAAGATACTGTATGTAAAATAATTTTTGTTGCTGCTTGTACAGTGTTTCAAGATTATGAAAACTTTCATATAAATAGCATCTGTAAATTGCATTCTTTATGCTTCTTTCAGATATTTGAATGGTGGTACTTCAGAAAATATGGCACGTCTTTTATTGAGCAAGTTTCCCTTAATCATCTCAGTCCATGGATTGGTGGGGGAGAAAATCCTGCAGCAGACAATACCACTGCAAGCTCCAACAACAATAATAACCAGCAGAGTGTACCAGGTACTTTATTTTCAGCTTTTGTACAGTTGTCTTCAAGAAGGAACCTGATAAGTTTCTTATCAGCTGGGCTGTGATTTGCACAATGTACTGGTGCTCCTTGACTTAGGATGTGGTTATATTCTGAAGAATCTATTTTTGGTTGAAATAATCGTAAGTTAATTATGAATACGATAACTGAATACAGTAGACCCCTGCCTTACGATATTAATCCGTTCCTGAGAGCTTATCGTTAGCCGAATTAATTTTCCCCATAAGAAATAATGGAAATCAAATTAATCCATTCCTGACACCCCAAAGTATGAAAAACAAAAATTTTTTACCACATGAAATACACCTACCATCCGACTTACGACCTGCTCGACTTACGACCACTCAACTTACGACCGTGTTTTTTATGCCAAATTTCTGGGAAATAAGCAACTATTTGTGTTGTACACAGTGTTTATCCTAACCTTACAGTATAAAATACAGTACTAACAACATAAAAAGTAAAGTAAAACATGAAATACCAAAATAAAACAATAAAATAAAGTCATTACAAAAATGTTTTGTTGATATTCATTAGTAAAGTTCGACTTACGACCATTTCGACTTACGACCGGTTTCTCGGAACCGAACTCGGTCGTAAGTCGGATGGTAGGTGTATTAATTTTAATGCACACAAACTGAAGAAGACATGCACAGTTACTACTCTACTAAGAATAGAATACATGACACTTACCTTTATTGAAGATCTGGTGATGATTGATGGGATGGGAGGAGGGGAGTGTGTGGAAGCTAGTGTTTAGAAGGGGAATCCCCTTCCATTAGGACTTGAGGTAGCAAGTCCTTTTCCAGGGCTACTTCCCCCCTTCTTTTAATGCCACTAGGACCAGCTTGAGAGTCACTGGACCTCTGTTGCACAACAAATCTGTCCATAGAGCTCTGTACCTCCCGTTCCTTTAAGACTTTCCTAAAATGGGCCTTAACATTGTCATTGTACAGATTGCCAACACGTGTTGGCTTGCAGTAGCTGTGTCAGGATGATTTTCATTCGTAAAGGTTTGCAGTTCATCCCACTTTGCACACATTTCCTTAATCTCTTTTTTTCAATTCCATACTAATTCTCACCCTTTTTACCACAGGGATGGCACTAGAAGCTTTCTTGGGGTCCATGGTGACTTATTTTGCAGTTACAAGCACTAAAAACACTGGGATAATGTGAAATGTACCGAATATATGCATAGATGCAACCGCACTGGCTGGCTTGTAAACACTAGTGCTGAGGCTGCACGTAGGACGCGTCCCGGACGAATCATGTAAAGCGAGTTTTTTATCATGAGGAGAGGCAACATTTTTGCGTTCAAATGTTTCGTATGATGGATTTAACGTAACGCGATGTGTTTGTAAGGCTGCGGTCCACTGTGTGTAACTGCTGTCACGAATAAGTACTTAAAGAAATAATTACTGTAACTTTTTTTTTTTTTTTTTTTTTTTTTTCAACAAGTCGGCCGTCTCCCACCGAGGCAGGGTGACCCAAAAAAGAAAGAAAATCCCCAAAAAGAAAATACTTTCATCATCATTCAACACTTTCACCACACTCGCACATTATCACTGTTTTTGCAGAGGTGCTCAGAATACAACAGTCTAGAAGCATACACATATAAAGATACACAACATATCCCTCCAAACTGCCAATATCCCAAACCCCTCCTTTAAAGTGCAGGCATTGTACTTCCCATTTCCAGGACTCAAGTCCGACTATATGAAAATAACCGGTTTCCCTGAATCCCTTCACTAAATATTACCCTGCTCACACTCCAACAGATCGTCAGGTCCCAAGTACCATTCGTCTCCATTCACTCCTATCTAACATGCTCACGCACGCTTGCTGGAAGTCCAAGCCCCTTACCCACAAAACCTCTTTTACCCCCTCTCTCCAACCCTTTCGAGGACGACCCCTACCCCGCCTTCCTTCCCCTATAGATTTATATGCTTTCCATGTCATTCTACTTTGATCCATTCTCTCTAAATGACCAAACCACCTCAACAACCCCTCCTCTGCCCTCTGACTAATACTTTTATTAACTCCACACCTTCTCCTAATTTCCACACTCCGAATTTTCTGCATAATATTTACACCACACATTGCCCTTAAACAGGACATCTCCACTGCCTCCAACCGTCTCCTCGCTGCTGCATTTACCACCCAAGCTTCACACCCATATAAGAGTGTTGGTACTACTATACTTTCATACATACCCTTCTTTGCCTCCATAGATAACGTTTTTTGACTCCACATATACCTCAACGCACCACTCACCTTTTTTCCCTCATCAATTCTATGATTAACCTCATCCTTCATAAATCCATCCTGTAACTAAATACCAATATTGAAAAGTAAATAAATGAATACAGGTTTATCCTATCAATAAATGAACAGTACTGTACAGTACAAAAAATAAGTTTTACAGTACATTACATACATTGCACCATCAGAAAGTTGAAATATCACAAGTCGAACCATCGTAAAGCGAGGAGCATCTGTACTACAGTTGGTCTGCCAAAAGACAGAATTGCAGAGAGGAACTTTATTGAGATGTTTTGCCTGTGAACAAATTTCTTCAGTCAATCGACTGAAAAAGTTTGGTCTGAGATGAAGCATCTCCTCTCTGTAATTGTCTTTTTTAACACTTGTTGGCTTTTCACCATTTGTCTTCATCTTGATCCACCAGGAGGCCAGGTCTGGGACCAGGGGTCAGGAAGTATTGACCCCTAAAAACATTTTTGATGTATCCTTCAGTTGTAGTCACCTTTATTCATCATCATTATCTGGCAATATTGTTAAAGTGTATGTAGTGACTTGTATTGTAATGTTAAATGATGTACTACACATTTAGGTTGATGCTGCTCTGTAATGCCATAGTGTGGTATTGTTAAATTTAGATTAAAATAAACTTTGGGTATTAAGACAAAATATGTATAACAAACTTTTATTGGGCCTTATGTTTTGCTTAGGGTAGAGCTTTACACCAAGTATACTGTAAACTCTGTATGGGATTTTATTAATTATGCATTATCATCATTAAAGGAGTAGCCACTGCAGCACTTACTAGATCATTCAAAGACCTTGGTAGTTAATTATGTCTTAATCAAAATTATAACTGTTTTGTGACTGAAGCCAATACTTTTCAGAGTGTAAAGTTTGGCGCAATCCTCTTAATTTATTTCGTGGTTCTGAATATCAACGGTTAACGTGGTCAACCAAAAAAGAGCCGTTGACTTATTATGATATGAACCTATCTGCTCAGGACCACCAGACCTTCTTCACTTGTGAGGCTGATGCTGGCAAGCCGGAATATGAAAGTAAGTCTTATGTATGCACAACTTAGTTCATTTTTTTTATTATTAAAGGCATAGGTTTGGTTTTGATTGGTAAAAAAAATTACAAGCAGTGCAAGTGTAATTTATATAATAATATTTTTGCACATTTGTTTTACATGATGGTAAGATTGCTGGTGTCTTTTTTCTGTCTCATAAACATGCAAGATTTCAGGTATGTCTTGCTACTTCTACTTACACACTACACATGCACGTACAAGCACATGTATATATACACCCCCTCTGGGTTTTCTTCTTTCTTACTAGTTTTTGTTTATTTCTGCTTTCCTCCATGGGGCAGTGGAACAGAATTCTTCCTCCATAAGCCATGCATGTCGTAAGAGGCGACTAACATGCCGGGAGCAAAGGGTTAGTAACCCCTTCTCCTGTATACATTGCTAAAGTTACAAAGAGAGACTTCTGTTTTTCTTTTTGGTCCACCCTCCCTCAGTGGAATATAGCTGGATTGTTGAAAGAAGAGGAAGAGTTTCGCACATTTGTTTTACATGATGGTAGGATTGCTGGTGTCTCTTCTCTCATAAACACATGGGTTAATAACAGGTATATCTTGCTACTTCTACTTACACTTGGGCCACACTACACATGCACGTACACTCATGTATATTTACACACCCATCTGGGTTTTCTTCTATTTCCTTAATAGTTCTTGTTCTTTATCTCCACTTATCTCCATGGGAAAGTGTAAAAGAATTCTTCCTCAGTAAGCCGTGCTTGTCATAAGAGGCAACTAAAATGTTGGGAAGAAGGGGCTAGTAACCCCTTCTCCTGTATAAATTAATAAATTTAAAAAGAAAAAAATTTTGTTTTCTTTTTAGGTCACTGCCTCAATAGGATACAGCCAGTTTGTTAAAAAAAAAAATACAGAACAGAAACTGTAATACTTGATTTTTTATTTTTATTATCACACTGGCCGATTCCCACCAAGGCAGGGTGGCCCGAAAAAGAAAAACTTTCACCATCATTCACTCCATCGCTGTCTTGCCAGAAGGGTGCTTTACACTACAGTTTTTAAACTGCAACATTAACACCCCTCCTTCAGAGTGCAGGCACTGTACTTCCCATCTCCAGGACTCAAGTCCGGCCTGCCGGTTTCCCTGAACCCCTTCATAAATGTTACTTTGCTCACACTCCAACAGCACGTCAAGTATTAAAAACCATTTGTCTCCATTCACTCCTATCAAACACGCTCATGCATACCTGCTGGAAGTCCAAGCCCCTCGCACACAAAACCTCCTTTACCCCCTCTCTCCAACCATTCCTAGGCCGACCCCTACCCCGCCTTCCTTCCACTACAGACTGATACACTCTTGAAGTCATTCTGTTTCGCTCCATTCTCTCTACATGTCCGAACCACCTCAACAACCCTTCCTCAGCCCTCTGGACAACAGTTTTGGTAATCCCGCACCTCCTCCTAACTTCCAAACTACGTATTCTCTGCATTATATTCACACCACACATTGCCCTCAGACATGACATCTCCACTGCCTCCAGCCTTCTCCTCGCTGCAACATTCATCACCCATGCTTCACACCCATATAAGAGCGTTGGTAAAACTATATTCTCATACATTCCCCTCTTTGCCTCCAAGGACAAAGTTCTTTGTCTCCACAGACTCCTAAGTGCACCACTCACTCTTTTTCCCTCATCAATTCTATGATTCACCTCATCTTTCATAGACCCATCCGCTGACACGTCCACTCCCAAATATCTGAATACATTCACCTCCTCCATACTCTCTCCCTCCAATCTGATATTCAATCTTTCATCACCTAATCTTTTTGTTATCCTCATAACCTTACTCTTTCCTGTGTTCACCTTTAATTTTCTTCTTTTGCACACCCTACCAAATTCATCCACCAATCTCTGCAACTTCTCTTCAGAATCTCCCAAGAGCACAGTGTCATCAGCAAAGAGCAGCTGTGACAACTCCCACTTTGTGTGTGATTTTTTATCTTTTAACTCCACGCCTCTTGTCAAGACCCTCGCATTTACTTCTCTTACAACCCCATCTATAAATATATTAAACAACCACGGTGACATCACACATCCTTGTCTAAGGCCTACTTTTACTGGGAAATAATTTCCCTCTTTCCTACATACTCTAACTTGAGCCTCACTATCCTCGTAAAAACTCTTCACTGCTTTCAGTAACCTACCTCCTACACCATACACTTGCAACATCTGCCACATTGCCCCCCTATCCACCCTGTCATATGCCTTTTCCAAATCCATAAATGCCACAAAGACCTCTTTAGCCTTATCTAAATACTGTTCACTTATATGTTTCACTGTAAACACCTGGTCCACACACCCCCTACCTTTCCTAAAGCCTCCTTGTTCATCTGCTATCCTATTCTCCGTCTTACTCTTAATTCTTTCAATAATAACTCTACCATACACTTTACCAGGTATACTCAGCAGACTTCTTCTTTCTTTCTTTCAACACATCGGCCGTATCCCACCAAGGCAGGGTGGCCCAAAAGGAAAAACAAAAGTTTCTCCTTTCACATTTAGTAATATATACAGGAGAAGGGGTTACTAGCCCCTTGCTCCTGGCATTTTAGTCGCCTCTTACAACACGCATAGCTTACGGAGGAAGAATTCTGTTCCACTTCCCCATGGAGATAAGAGGAAATAAACAAGAACAAGAGCTAGTAAGAAAATAGAAGAAAACCCAGAGGGGTGTGTATACATATGCTTGTACATGTATGTGTAGTGTGACCTAAGTGTAAGCAGAAGTAGCAAGACGTACCTGAAATCTTGCATGTTCATGAGACAGAAAAAAGGACACCAGCAATCCTACCATCATGTAAAACAATTACAGGCTTTCGTTTTACACTCACTTGGCAGGACGGTAGTACCTCCCTGGGCGGTTGCTGTCTACCAACCTACTACCTAAACTCAGCAGACTTATCCCCCTATAATTTTTGCACTCTCTTTTATCCCCTTTGCCTTTATACAAAGGAACTATGCATGCTCTGCCAATCCCTAGGTACCTTACCCTCTTCCATACATTTATTAAATAATTGCACCAACCACTCCAAAACTATATCCCCACCTGCTTTTAACATTTCTATCTTTATCCCATCAATCCCGGCTGCCTTACCCCCTTTCATTTTACCTACTGCCTCACGAACTTCCCCCACACTCACAACTGGCTCTTCCTCACTCCTACAAGATGTTATTCCTCCTTGCCATATACACGAAATCACAGCTTCCCTATCTTCATCAACATTTAACAATTCCTCAAAATATTCCCTCCATCTTCCCAATACCTCTAACTCTCCATTTAATAACTATCCTCTCCTATTTTTAACTGACAAATCCATTTGTTCTCTAGGCTTTCTTAACTTGTTAATCTCACTCCAAAACTTTTTCTTATTTTCAACAAAATTTGTTGATAACATCTCACCCACTCTCTCATTTGCTCTCTTTTTACATTGCTTCACCACTCTCTTAACCTCTCTCTTTTTCTCCATATACTCTTCCCTCCTTGCATCACTTCTACTTTGTAAAAACTTCTCATATGCTAACTTTTTCTCCCTTACTACTCTCTTTACATCATCATTCTAGATGATGATGATATTTGCATTAATATTTTGTCATCTTCCCTTTGCCTTTGATGACTATTGGAAGCTGTTTGGGAATGCTCTCACTCAGATTCCTGAAGTAATCACTGGATAACTGGTCGACCCAAATGTTCTTGATCTTTTGCTGTAGGCATGATATGGATGAAATGTAGCAGGATACTATCTTTTTCATGATATTCTAGACATTCTCAATGGTACTGAGGTCTGGACTATTCCCTGGTTTCTGTGAAACCTCAATATTTTTCATAGGAAGCCACTTGGTTACTTTCTTGGCCTTGTGACAGGGGGCACTATCATGCACAAGGGTGGTGCAACAAAGAATTTTAAATATATTCAGCAGATGGTCTTTGAACGGTGATAAAGTGGTCGACATTCATTGTAATGTTTTGGGAATGGAAGTACAACCCCTATGACCACTAAAGCAACCCCAAACTATGATAGATTATGGGTTTTTAATGGTGTTCACTGTGTATGCATAGTTGTACCTGGTGATGGAGGAGGGGTGCCTTTCCCTGCTTCGACCACTTTTAGTACACTGAAATGTGGCTTATTTCTAGTCATCAATGCTCCAATGTACATATTTCCTGGCAAACTGGAGGTGTTCCTTCTATGTATTCTAGGAATTCAGGATACATTTTTTTGAGCTGTGATGCTGTTAGATGTGGATTTCTACATTGTTCTCTGCATAGAATGCTATCTGTGTGTTTAGACATCCTCCTTGACTGTCCAATATGGGGTTTTGTATTGGCAGTGGCATCTGGTGATAGGCCACTGGTAGCAGCTGGATTTTCCTCGTCGAATACAGTGAGAGATTTCGTTTATGGGGACTTTTTCTTGTCTACAGGCCAATATACAGGCATTTTCCTCACTATTTATCTTTGAACTACTCATGTTTATCATGGAGGCAGGTCCGGATTATTATTGAAGGCACTGTATTTAATGTGGTACAGTATTCTCTTCACTGTTGCCAGCAATAATGAAACACAGCCAACTCATAAATTGTATATGAAAACTTGATATCTCAGTCCAATCCTGGACCATTATCATCATGATGGATGGACTGAAGCTCTCAAATTTTCATATGGGTTAGTGAAATTCATGAAAATGAAGTACAGGTCCTACACTTTAAAGGAGGGATTTGGGATATTTACTGTTTGGAGTGACATCTGAACTGTCGTATCTGAGCACCTCTGCAAAGACAGTGATTATGTGTGAATGATGATGAAAGTGTTTCTTTTTGGGTCACCCTGCCTTGGTGGGAGACAGCCAGCATGTTGAAAAAAAAATATTAATAACATTTTTGTTGTGTATTTTGGATGCATTTGTTGAGTTTCACTGGAAACAGAAATATACGATGTAAATAATGTTTCAGTGGGTGGTAGTGAATGAGCTTGTTGTCAGACTAAGATAAGTATTTTCTGAGTAGTTTTAAGCTATTATTTTATTTTGATTTAATTAACTACCATAAGATTTTTGAACAGTAATGCAGACTGCGTGGAGGGAAAGAAACCCAGAAGTTCGCATCAAATCTGCACGTTCTGCTTTAGATCTGAACCCAGAATGTGCCTCGGCATATATTCTGCTAGCAGAGGAAGAATGTACCTCTATTATTGAAGTGGAGAAGAAGTTGAAAATAGCTCTGAAACATGCAGAGACAAATTACAGAAGATCTCAAGTAACACAACACCAGAGTAGTGCAATGGAAGCTTTACATAGTAAGTTGTCTACTGTTTGTATCTGTAGCAACATACAGGTGCTCCTTGACTTATGATGGGGTTACATTCTGATGAACCCATTGAAGGTTGAAAATATCGTAAGTCGAATATGAATATATGATAAATAAGTAAATAAATAGCTTCTGTCACTGAATAAGTAAATAAACAAATAATTACTGTAACTAACTAAATACCAGTATTGTGAGTAAATAAATGAATACAAGTTTATCCTATCAGTAACTGTACAGTACTGTATGAAGGTCATATTTTGACTCGACAATGGTGCTACTGCACCATCATGAAGTCAAAATATCACCAATATCAGTCAAAACATCGTCAAACCATCATAAAGCGAGGAGCATCTGTACTTTAGTATAGTAAACCAGTTACAGCCTCTCCTCACTTAGTGATGTACTCGTTTACTGACACCTCGGACTTATGACAGGCTCTTTGACCAGTATGAATACCTAAATAATGCATATTAGAGCTGATTTTCTCTAATCTGTTTATTTCAATATACAGTACACTACTGTATAAACATTTAAAAATATACCAGAAATGTTATAAATGGTGCAAAGGTGACATTAAAACAATATCAGAGATAGTTGACACAAATTCACTACCATTATAGTATGCTCCTCACTTAGTGATGAATTCGTTTAATGATGTGGTCTTATGAACGAAACTCAATCGTTAAGTGAGGAGAGGCTATATATTGCACTAATGGGGAAATGGTTGTCCAAGTGTCTGTTAATTCAGAATAATGAAAAGAAAATAATAAGAGCAGTAAGTATTCTGCTATATACCTAGTATAGTATGTACTATACACACAATTTAGAGATACAATAGACAACCACCTTTTGCCTGAATTATGTTCCAGAAAAATGGAGCTGTTTGTGACAATCGATTGTTGGAGTGAACAACTTTGAAACTTTGAAAAAGGCCTAAAAAACTGAGTTTTAAATTATTAAATCATAAATATTAATAAAGTTTTTTAACAATTTACATTGTAGACGCTTCTCGTTGATCTAGAAATGAGTGGAGAGGGTTCATGTTGCCCTCCTAGGTCTAGTTGGATATACTATAAAGGTTTAGACCGTCAAAGCAGCTTGTTAGATTTTAACCCTTTTCCTGTCATAACCCCCAAAATTAAAAGTGCTGTTAGTGTCACTATTTAAAAAAAAATTATTTTTCAAAATGGTAGAGTCTTTTTCTGAAGGTTATGACACCAAGAATGTGAAAGTTGATTGAAAATTTTGGAATTATGCAGGTGTGAAGTTTCTGGCTATTTTGCTAGTACACCTTCCATTCTATTGATTGAATGTAAGAAACTGCCAATTTGCTTATCAGAACTACCTTATTAACCCTTTGACTGTCGCAACCCCAATTCCTGAGGTGTCTCCTGGTGTCACAAAATATTTGGAAAAAAAAAAAAAATTCTTGTGAAATGATAGAGAATCTTTTCCCAGTGGTAATGACACCAAAAGTACGAAATTTGATGGAAAACTTACGGAATTATGCTCTTGCGAAGTAAGCGGCCTTGGCAATATTTACGAATCAGCGATTTCGCCCACTTTGATCCCTATTTTCAGCTAATGCCATTGCTCCAGTTGACCAAACGCGGTTACCCAGTCGCCCACGGTGGGTTATACCATTGAGTCAATGGAGGCGTACTGCCCACACCCACCCTCATCATGCTCCCAGCCTCCGGTTTGGTTCATACGCGTGCAGGACGAAGATATGCACTCGGGAACCTAGCTGTGTTTATTGACACACATTTTCTTATTTTCATTGCCATTTGTTAAATCTGCTAAGCAATCATGGCACCCAGTAAGCATACAAGTGTTGCTGGAAGTGACAAGAAAAGGTTTAAGCATTCAAGTCTAGGAATTGTGAAGAAAATTGTGATATTAGACAAGTTTAAGAGTGGATCACATGTGGTGGATATAGTGAGGGCCTATGGCCTTAATGAAGTGTCGGTTCATACAATTAAAAAGAACGAGGTGAATATATGAGTTTGTGTAATGAATAACTCAAGATATCATCTCATGAAAAGAATGACACGTAGGTCCCAACAAGTAAATAAAACAGAAAACTTGTTGCTTGAGTGGATTGAACAAAAGACAAAGAAAGGTGCACCACTTAATTTCCTCTTAATTGGGGAAAAGGCCTTACAGTTGTTTAAAGCAGTGTGTGATAAGGAAGGAAGGCCTGAAAAAGACTGTTTAGCACAAGTTGGTTCCACAACTTTAAGTTTCATAATAAGTTACATAACATTAAGTTTTCTGGTGAAAGTGCTTCAGCTGATCATACAGCAGCAAGTAATTTTCCTGCTGAATTGCAGGAAATTATTTCTGAGGGTGGCTATGAGCCACACCAAGTGTTTAATGCTGACGAGACAAGTGTTTTTTTGGAAAAAAAAAATGCCAACATGAACTTTTATCAGTCAGCAAGAGAAGAGTGCACCAGGCTTCAAGGCAGCAAAGGACCGCTTCACCTTGCTCCTGGGTGGTAATGCATCAGGTGATTTCAAGTGTAAGCCCATGGTTATTTACTGCTCTAAGAATCCTCGTGCTTTGAAAGGTGTAGATAAAAACACCTTACCAGTAATTTGGAGGTCAAACCAGTCAGCATGGATGACAGAGGAAATATTTATTGACTGGTTTAAGCATCACTTTATTCCTGAAGCCAGATTTTACCTGCACAGCAAGAACCTTGCATTCAAGGCTCTGTTATTCAGATACTCAGATGGTTGTGTAAATATACCTGCATGTACATGCATATGTAGTATAACCTAAGTGTAAGCAGAAGGAGCAAGATATACCTGTTATTCAATGTTTTTTTAAGACAGAAAAAAGACACCAGCAATCCTACCATGTGGAAATAAATGGTATAAAATACCGACACAATGGAAATATAAACACAAATGCAGTATAATGTGATCCTTTATTGACTACGTTTCGCCCACACAGTGGGCTTTTTCAAGTCACAAACAGAACTACCTGGGGTGGAAGGAACGCGAGTATTTATAGTCCGGTTCAGAATGCTGAGGTCAGGTGAAGAATGCTGCATCTGATGATGCACCGAGTGGGGTTATAGAGTCTAAAAACTTGGGCAGCCCGGAAAGGAGATTGGACAAGTTTGTGAGCAGACCTTCTACAGTGTTCTTATGTGGGATAGCGATGAAGAAGTTTCTTGGCAAGTGGTTCAGCTATGTTATAGAAGCTTCTATAACATAGCTGAACCACTTGCCAAGAAACTTCTTCACCGCTATCCCACATAAGAACACTGTAGAAGGTCTGCTCACAAACTTGTCCAATCTCCTTTCCGGGCTGCCCAAGTTTTTAGACTCTATAACCCCACTCGGTGCATCATCAGATGCAGCATTCTTCACCTGACCTCAGCATTCTGAACCGGACTATAAATACTCGCGTTCCTTCCACCCCAGGTAGTTCTGTTTGTGACTTGAAAAAGCCCACTGTGTGGGCGAAACGTAGTCAATAAAGGATCACATTATACTGCATTTGTGTTTATATTTCCAATCCTACCATGTAAAACAATTACAGATTTTTGTTTTGCATTCACTTGGCAGGACAGTAATAACTCCCTGGGCAGTTGCTGTCTACCAGCCTACTGCCTAGAGAATGTATTTTAATTCATAAAATATAATAGATCATGATTTTTCATGTTTCATTTTTTTTTATCCGAGTATGCAAAATTTTTGTAAAAGAATAGTGACACCATTTTCAAACACTTTCTGTTTCTAGACTTTCTTGTGAAGTTGACTAATAGACAATGCCCATTGTTTTACAACTACTGTAGTTCTGTAAAGGTAATTTATTATGTTATATCTGTAATTTGAATTCCCATACTCTAGTTCTTTTTCACAGAATGGTATAAGTACTGTATAATTCTTAGTTCTCAACTTGCATATAATGCACTCAGAATTGAGAATAATTGCTACTTTTTAAAATTTTATGCAGTGCATTTTTGTAAAGCAATATTTAACCCTTAAATGGTCCAAACGTATATATATGTTTTTTCAACATTTGAAAGTATGTAAAAAAATGTAGATCTTCTTTCTTGTTTTACATTTAAAAATGTGTAAAAAAAACTTTTATCTACATTTTTTTATCCCACCTGCCTCGGTGGGAGACGACCGACTTGTTGAAAAAAAAAAAAAAAAAAAATGTAAAAAAAAACGTAGATCTACTTTTGGAGCAATACGGATTTGAACGTCGATCTGTTTGGACCGTTTAAGGGTTAAGAGATAAAGAAGATTATGTAGAATCTGAAAAGCTATCTTGAAGTTTTCCATATTTATAAGTACAGTACAATAATATTAGGCATCAGTGTTATACAGAACAGTTTGTTAGGAAAGATATCTTGTTAAAGCTTGTATCTTGTTTTCTTCCAGGACGAGACACAAATGTATTCATATATATTAAGAGACGGCTAGCCATGTGTGCTCGAAAATTAGGCAAAATGAAGGAAGCAATAAAGATGTTTCGAGATGTGAGTAATGTCATTGTTTGTGTGTTAAGGCTTTACTAGTATGCTTTACTTTAGTGTAGCAATAACTTACATAGAGTAGCATTGTTAGAGAAGGGGTCAGTATATATCAAGGAATGTTTCTCACTGGTATACATAGATCACCAAACAGTATATCAAGGGACATTTCTCATTGGTCTACATAGATTAAGCATACAGTGTATCAAGGAACATTTCTCACTGGTATACATAGATCAACATACAGAGTATCAAGGAATGGATGAGCCAACTCAGTGTAGGAAGTCTTTTTATGTGGTGCAGTATAAGAATATTTGGTATAAATTATTTGTTTAAAATTTCACTGATAATACTGTACTATATTTATCAGATTATTATGGTAAATATTTCAGATTACAATGAATTAGGCATTAATTAATTACAGTGTAAGCAGATGGTTAGGAGTTTTATTATTATTAAAAGTAATAAGACTGATATACTTATTTCACTGGGTTTGTTTTGTATATACTATTATACATTGAAAGTGCTATATACAATGCTGGTTATTATGATGCAAACCAACTTTCAGGGGTTACCATTAACCCTTCTTACACTCCAGATATATACAACCTCTTGACCATCCTGTTCTGCTCTGTCCTTTCTAAATGCTCAAACCACTACAACAACCCCTCCTCAGCCCTCTTCTAACTTCTACACTCTGCATTCTTTGCATAATATTAGCACCCTGAAACATGAGATCTCTACTGCCTCCAGCCTCCTTCCCACTGCAGTGTTTAAAACCTATGCCTTGCATCCACATAAGTGTTGGTACCACTATATAAAGTTCCTTCACTTTATGTGATAGATATGTTCCTGTCTGATGGTGTATAGAGTTATCTGATTGACTATTTGAGGATGACAGTGAGTTTCCCTATAGGTTGGAGGTAATCTCAAAATTCTCATGTGTCCAGTTTAGGCTCAAGAATCTTTCCAGATGTTGGCTCCTGACTGTCAGGGCCTTTGAATGCTAGAGGGTTAAGGGCTTCAGGAAACTTTGCATCAGCAACATGATCAGCGCTTCCAGATTCACCTGTCACCTTAATGTATAGGTTTTGATGCCAAAAAGAATTTGTCAAACCTGTCCTGACTAGCCATTAAGGGCTCCTGATTGAGGCAGAGCAGAGATTCATCTTTCTCTGGTTCTGGTCCTCCACACACACTGCCAGCATTTTCTCCTTGACTTGGTTGATTGCTGAGAAGCCATAATGATAACTGCGGTGGCAAACACCCAAGTAATGTCTTATATAGATGCTGAGGTGCAAGCACTACCACAAACAAAGTTAGACTGATGTTTTGGTAGTGCACGTCATCATTCACAGTGCCCCATGCAAAGCAACGCACAAAGTGTACAGCAGCGTCTTCCACCCACTCCCATGTGTTAGCGAAATTGCACATAATAAAGTATCCTCTGTAACAAGTTTGCTGGAATTTTCAACTCTAATTACAAAAAATTAGACCCACAAAATCTTCACAGATGTTTTGTACCTCAACTTCCAGAAATCATTTGACAAAATACCACACAAGAGATTACTAAGCAAATTAAAGTCTGTGTACGAATGGTATACAATACCGACAAGATAAGATTAAGACACATGTGCAACATCTGGGTATCTTTATTGTAGACGTTTCGCCATCCAGTGGCTTTATCAATACAAATTCTAGGACATAACTTGAAGACAGTAGAACTATGTACAGAAGATGAGGTAATCAGTCCCTCAACCTAGGAGTAGGTGCGAAGAGCACCATAGTCGTGGAGATTCTGAAGCAGAAGAAAGGATCCTGGCGCTTATATAGTAACGTCAGGTGTAGCAGACGAGGGCATATTCACTGGAAGGCGGGATTCCCCAGTGGAAGTAGGTCCTTCCCAAAGAAATGGGTTAGTTGTAGTAGAAGTTGTCGTAGTCGTGAAGGTTATGTACATGTCCTCAGAATTAAGATTCCATGATGTTGCAGTGTCTGACAAGTTGTGTACGAATGGTATACAATACCGGTATTGTATACCATTCGTACACAACTTGTCAGACACTGCAACATCATGGAATCTTAATTCTGAGGACATGTACATAACCTTCACGACTACGACAACTTCTACTACAACTAACCCATTTCTTTGGGAAGGACCTACTTCCACTGGGGAATCCCGCCTTCCAGTGAATATGCCCTCGTCTGCTACACCTGACGTTACTATATAAGCGCCAGGATCCTTTCTTCTGCTTCAGAATCTCCACGACTATGGTGCTCTTCGCACCTACTCCTAGGTTGAGGGACTGATTACCTCATCTTCTGTACATAGTTCTACTGTCTTCAAGTTATATCCTAGAATTTGTATTGATAAAGCCACTGGATGGCGAAACGTCTACAATAAAGATACCCAGATGTTGCACATGTGTCTTAATCTTATCTTAAATTAAAGTCTCATAGCATAAGGACAATTGTTGGGAGGGTTCCATGGAGATATGATGGTTGGAGATAAACACAATTGTTGAGTTGTATACACTTATATTAGCAAGGTTGTGAGGGAAAGGCCCAGCCTAGCCTGTTGCCTGTAGGTCTATCCGTGAACTGAGAAAGGGACAGGGTGACTCCTGCCCACTGGCAGCACTGTGTGGCATCACATGTTAGCCGCTAAGTCTGGCAAGGTGTCGTCTATATAATACATATGGATGGTACTATGATACTCTTCTATGCTACACAACATATACAGGGGATCAGCAACTATGCTGACACAATCTTCTGACCTGGATCAGTAATTGGCAGAATGACATGAAACAGCAAGTAGTTTTAAATAATGTAGTCTCGGGTGAAGTGTGATGAGTAGTCTCTCTCAGGACTCGGTCTTTGACCAAGGGGTAGGGATCATCCTAGCAAAGGATGGAGGAAGGGGGTAAAAGAGGCATGCGTGAGCATGTTAGATAGGAGTGAATGATGGAAACAAATGGTTTTTGGGACTTGACAAGCTGTTGGAGTGTAAGCAGGGTAATATTTTGTGAAGGGATTCAGGGAAACCAGGTAGCCAGACTTGAGTCCTGGAGTTGGGAAGTACAATGCCTGTACTTTAACTCTTAAATGGTCCAAACGTATATATACGTTTTTTCAACATCTGAAAGTATGTAAAAAATGTAGATCTTCTTTTTTGTTTTACATTTGAAAACGTGTAAAAAAAACTTTTATCTACATTTTTTTTGTTATATTTGAAAATATGTAAAAAAAAGTAGATCTACTTTTGTAGCACTACGAATTTGAACGTCAATCTCTTTGGACCGTTTAAGGGTTAAAGGAGGGGTTTGGGGTATCGGCTGTTTGGAGTGACACCTAAATTGTCGTATCTGGTCACCTTTGCAAAGACAGCGATTGTGTGAATAATGGTAAAAGTGTTTTTCTTTTTTGGGTCACCCTGCCTTAGTGGGAGATGTCTGACATGTTAAAAAAAAAAAATCTAGAAATGCGTTTGCATTCAAACTTTCAAAAGATTGTGAATGAAACAAAATTTAGGAGATGTGCAGCATCCATGACTGACTGTTTTCACTATTCAGAGACATGACCAGGCTATTACAGTGGTCAGGAAAGTGAGGAAAAATACCATTGTGGACAAGTGCAAGGTAAAGCATTTTGTGTATAATAATTTAAAGTACTGTATTAGCATAACTTGTCAGAAAGCCTACTGATACATAATTCAAGAGAAAGACCTAAAATATACTAACAATATCTTGCTGTGAGCAGTAAAGCTCGCAGAATGCTTGGCTTCACAGTAAAAAATTTTTAGTTCAAAGTGGTATCAATACTACAGAACATTTCTTAGACCCCCATCTTGAAGATGCTGCATGGTTTTCTACTGTATAATAGATGTCGATAAATTTGAGAAGATGCAGAGAAGAGGAACTACACTTGTAGTGTATCATCAGTATGAAGCAACCCTTATGAAGAAAAACTTATTCACTTAAAATTTTCTCAATTGGAAATTGAAGGACACTTTAAACCTTCAAGATACTAAACAAATTTGGTTTACTCAAGGATGAAGAGCTTGGCAAAGAAATAGAATTACACAAAATAATGTTATGAATCTTTTACAAGCAGTTTGGCATTAATGTGGGTAAGAGCTTGTTTTACAGAGTTATTCATCCCTGGATTTGTTTTTCCTCAGGAGTTATTAGGGCAAGAATAATTCAGCCCTTCAAGAATCATTTGGACAAACACTTTGCAAATATAAGATTCTACAAGTCACAGTCCTTTCAAAATATTACATGGGTTATATCCAGAGCCAAGAGCTATTACCATGTTTCAGTTTATTACCCTAGCAATACCTTTAATATTTTTAAGACAAGGTTGGAACCATTTGTGGGCTAAACTTTGCATTTTGTCAGTATTTTTCTAATGTTCGTATGTTGTGATAATTTATTTCTACAACAGCTCATTTCAAACATGAATGATTAGTAAAGATAAGCCTTTGAGAAAGGTACGGCTAAAGTGAAATTGTTGATGCTCACCTATCATGTGATGTTATAACTATTTTGATACTATCTGCGAAGACCACCTATCATATGATGTTATAACTGTCTTCTGTTTGTGAAGACCACCTATTGTGTGATGTTATAACTGTCTTCTTGCTGTCTGCGAAGAGGAGTCAACTGTGTGACATTGATAACATTGGCCTTGTACCTAACAGTAAGACCTCCAGCATCTCTGGTGTTGAAGGTTTTATGGAATGACAGATCCAACCAGGCCGGGTCCAGGCGAGAGATGAGTCATCTTGTACAGTCCTCTACCTTGTGCAGAAGTCAGAGATGAGACGGGGAACAAGCAATCCAAGAAAATGGTGTATACTCAAGGTGAGAGTGAACTTGTGCCTCACGCTGAGTTTTGCAGCCTCTGCTGTTGAGCAGGTACATGATGCGCCCTAGTGCTGTAGGCTTCTGAGCCACCGCCGCAGCCGCCTTGCTTTCAAAATTTATCACATAATTCTTCATGATCATTGCTGAGGCATATCTCACATCCAGCTATCAGCTGGGCACTCTCTCATTCTCTCTCCCATTCTCTCTCTGCTCTCTCATTCTTTCTCTGCTCTCTCATTCTTTCTCTCCTCTCTCTCATTCTTTCTCTCCTCTCTCATTCTTTCTCTTCTCTCTCTCATTCTTTCTCTCCTCTCTCATTCTTTCTCTCTATTTGTCTCTCTCTCTGTCTCTATCTCTATCTGTGTGTCTCTATTTCTCTCTCTCTATCTGTCTCTATCTCTCTAACTGTCTGTCTCTCTCTGTCTCTGTCTCTCTCTCTCTGTCTCTCTCTCTGTCTCTCTCTCTCTGTCTCTGTCTATCTGTCTCTCTCTGTCTCTCTCTCTCTTTGTCTCTTTCTCTCTTTGTCTCTTTCTCTCTTTGTCTCTCTGTCTCTCTCTTCTCTCTCTCTCATTAATTCATTCATTTACACAAGAGTTTTTCTGGGTGAGATAATCTACAGTTATGTTTAACCCGTAAACGGTCCAAGCAGATCTACGTTCACATGTGTAGTGCTACAAAAGTAGATCTTCTTTTTTTTACATATTTTCATATATAACAAAAAAAAAAGTAGATCAAAGTTTTTTTACACATTTTCAAATGTAAAAAACAAAAAGATCTACTCTTTTTTACATTCAAATGTTGAAAAAACGTATATATACGTTTGGACCGTTTACTGGTTAAGCTTTTAGTGCTTACCTACTTCAACTCATTTGAAAGTCTTTTGAATGTTATGAAACATACAAACAGAGAACAGGATAAAGTTGGAGCTTGGTGTGGACTAGGATTTCATTTGGTCAGCTGACTTTATTTCATTGATGTTATTATGCTGTACAAACATGTTCTAAATTCAAGTCATTCAAGGAGTGAATGATATCAGATGAAGTGATGTTCTTGAAGAGGTTACAACCAGAGTGTAGTTGCTGTTTACTGCCCATCTTTTTGTGTAGGAGCTGTCTTCTAGCTGTCCACAAAGTGAAGCCAAGTGTGGTACTATTACAGTTTTGGCCTTGTTAGGTAAAAGGACGCAAGTGTAACTAATGTGACATTTTATTGTGGCAACTTTTCACTCTGCAGGAGCTTTGTCAAGCTGTAACAGCTTGACAAAGCTCCTGCATTTATGTCCTTTTACCTAACATATTGTCAGTAATTTTACCAACATTAATACAATTTTGGCCTTGTACATAACAGTAAGGCCACCCATGTCTCTCCAGTGTTGAAGGGTCTGCTGAAATGACATATCTATCCAGGCTGGGTCCAGGCAAGAGATAAATCATCTTGCTTGGTTCTCAGCCTTATCCAGAAGTCATAGGTAAGGTGAGGGGCAGGCAATCCAAGAAAGTGGAGCATACTCAAGGTGTAAGTTTTGCTGCTTCTACTGTCAAGCAGGTATGAGATATTTCTTAATGGTTTTAATTCTTGGTTGCTTGCTTACAAGATTTACCACATGGTTCTTCCTAGTTTAGAATCATATTTCACCCTGATGATATCACTCCCTCATCCTTAGGTTCCAAAACATTCCCATTCATTCTTACCACGGTTTCAACACTACCATTGTCATGCCTAGAGACTATCATCATCATCATTTGTGTTTCCTCAGAAGCAAATGTAATCTGCCATCGTTTGCCCCCAGGCTGATACAGCTGTAAGCTGGTGATTGATGTACCCGAGAGCAGGTGGCATTTCCTCTCTTGGATAAGTAAAAGCATTAAGACCAGGTGTGTGATTATGATTCTTGAGTAGAAGTATTTCCTGTATAAATTAGATATACACAACAACCATGAAGCAGTTGTTTGCTTGGTTTGTTCGACATGTAAAATGTTGCGGAACCCAGTTACCACCTCTACTCTGTTCCACTCTCACCTCTCTTCCTGAATATTTTGTTGGGCTCTTTGCCTGCCTTCAACATTTATGGCTGTTCCTACATCTTCTAGACAAGTTGTGTGTATCACTTTGCCTGTTATACAATTTGGGATAACTGTACTGCTTACCTAGCTTGCCCACTGTTGCATCAGGCTAATTCATTTTATTACAGGGATTTCTTAATGTATGACAGTTCTTTATTTGAGGGGCCCATTGTTCGTCCATGCCTCTCCTGCTTAGTGTGCTGCATCCTCAAAGTGTTTGCCAGGTGTAGGTCAAGATGGCACTAGCCACTTAAGGTTATTCCAATTCTTCCATATCCAGTTTACTGTTCTTAAATGTTGAAATCATAAATGCAGTTTGTGATCATACTAATTTGCCTTTTTTTTTTCCTCTTTTATATTCTTTTCAGTTTTTTACTTTACCAGCAAAAATTATAACAACTTTGTCGGTGTCAAGTAGTTTTCTTTAATAGGTTTTAAGTACTGTAGTTACATGCCATTTTATTTCAGTGTTTGTTATACTCAGTCTTATGTTTTATTTTTTCTGTTTATTTTATTGCTTCACTTTGCTTGGCTACATTTGTTCAGCTTTTGCCTATCTTTGTTTTTAATTACAGATCTTATGTAACTTATCTGATTTTCTGTTGCTAGACTTATCATGTTCACTTGTGTTACAGTTTTGGTTTCCCTTCCCTCATTTCATGGTACCTCTCACTCCATCACTGATTTTTATAACTTAGGTTTTGTTCAATTTTTAGATAAAGTATTTCATCAGTTTTCTACATCCTGCAAATCGGCAAACTAAAAAAGTTAGGTGCTACTGTTCAGGAATAATTTAATAATTTACCTACATAAACAATGGCTTGTATTTTATGTGTAATGATGAACAGATTCAGGAAAACAGAACCACTTTTATTAATTGAGGTACATAGCATTAAGTTCACATTTAGTGAAGTTTCTCAAGTGAATCTAAAAATTCAAAGATGTGCTCATGTACAGTATATAATGAGGAGGGTAGTGCATCAGGTGAAAATAGAGAAGTGTCCAGTGCGTGGAAGCATGAAAGGAACGTTAGGCCTATTGCAATACTCTGGTACCCGGGAATATTATCCAAGTGTGTTATGATTATATTTGTTCCTATTCTTGAGTATGATGTGGGCAAGAGACAAGGCTAAATTGAGAGCCCTTTGCTCTGAGGAATGATGTTTGTAATCCTAACAAGAGCTACTTCTAAACACTTTCTGTTGGTGTGGTTCTCTTGAATGACAGTATTCTTACTCACCACGCAAGTGTTGTTTTCATTGATGCAGCACACACGCTGTGTTTGTTAACATGAGTCTTCAAGTCTCCGGTTTCTTTATAAGGGATTATATATACACCCGCAGAATGTTAACCTCTTTTTTTTTTTTTTTAACCTTTGATTGTGTCAAGTCCCAGAGAGTTTTTGTGGTGACAGTGTCAGAATCCATTTTATCATCCTGTAGATGATTGCTGCAGTAAAGGCTGTGTCTTTATGGGTAGGATCAATCTTCTTGTGGTGTTATTCTCAGATTTTAGGGGTCTGGTAAATACTAGTGACTTTCTGCGACTTTTTCTCATGTTGATGGGAAATTTTGGGGACTTCCACCCAATAGTTGTGTAGGTGAGTACATCATCCAGAATGTAATACTTATAATATAAGATTTCTGAGGAAGAAGCCAGTATACTTTGTAACACCCAAGAATGGTAGGCAGCCCTCTGCCTCTTCCTTCCCCTGTGTGGGGAAAAAATGTTGAAAAAAAGATACAGTGCGAAAAGGGTACATATTTTTCTAAAAGTTCTTCTCCTCTCAACAAACCGGCCATATCCCACTAAGGCAGGGTGACCCAAAAAGAAAAACAGAAGGAAGAATTCTATTCCACTTCCCCATGGAGATAAGAGCAAATAAATAAGAACAAGAAGTAGTAAGAAAATAGAAGAAAACCTAGAGGGGTGTGTATATATATGCTTGTACATACATGTGTAATGTGACCAAAGTGTAAGTAGAAGTAGCAAGACGTACCTGAAATCTTGTATGTTTATGAAATAGAAAAAAGACACCAGCAATCCTACCATCATGTAAAACAATTGCAGGCTTTCGTTTTACACTCGCTTGGCAGGACGGTAGTACTTCTGTGGGTGGGTACTGTCTACGAACCTACTACCAAGGTTTTCTAAAAGTTATGAAAAGAAAAATGAAAGTCAAATCAAACTTATGGTTTAATGGTAAGTTGATGTTGAGAAAAATAGTAACTTGGCCACAGCAGTTGCATAAATATGCAAAGCAGTACAAATGTTTTACATAAATTTATTGATGTCAAATTATGATTGTTTTTCACTTTTTTTGTTTTCAGTGTCTAATGCTATGTATTGCAGTTTGATATTACAGTGTAGATGTATTTCAGGGTATGATACTGCTTAAGACATGGATAGATACAGAGTGGCATATCACACATGTTTTTATTTTATGGGTGAATAATATAAGGTGTTATTTAGGTTTTGTGTATATAGCATAAAAATATTTTGAAATAGTTCAGTGAGATTTCTGTTTTTGCATTAAACTCATGACCATTTTGAAGCAGCTAGGTCCAGCTATCTGATCAGCCAAAAGCTTATTTAGCTTGAACAGGAGCATGGCTGATTATTTATTGTCCTTGATTCAGGATATATTCCATGATTTTTTTATATGTAATTTTTAATGAGAATTTATAAAATATTCTTGTTTCCCAGGGACTGTGTACTTCCTACTGATGCTCCATTCACCCTAATGGTTGCAATTTTCTCATCTTAAAATATGCTAAAAAGTAACAAAAAAGAATTTTATCATATCTTAAGTTCCTTGTTCTTCTTGCTTATTGCAGTAAAAGTTTGTGGAGATGATTAAAGTGGCTGTATATCCATATATGTGCAGAGAAAATCCCTAGGCTTGCTACATCAGTTGATGGACTCTACCTTTCCCTACACGATTTTGTTTTTCCAAACGTACCTTGAGTGTTATGCTTATTTTAGTGCTTAGCACCTCCAGCATCACTGGTATTTCATTATGGTGTCTTAGTTAATATCCAGAGACAAGACAGGGTGATGACAAAGACTGAAAATTAAACACAAAAGTGTGAGCATTGTTTACATCAGAGAGTCAAGCTTCCGGTGTGAATGTTGTTTGTTTACAGTGAAACTGGTAAAATAAAACAAAATTTCAATGGTGGTGTATGGGTAAAATGGTGCATAGTAGAGGAATATTTGGCATTTTACTGTATTTAGCTAAAAGAAAATTTTAATTTTAATTATTCTTTCCAATTCAAAAAATATTGTACATTATTATTGATACAATGGATAACAAGAATATTAAAAAAAAAAAGACCGAGTCAATGATGGTACAGTACTGTACTCTTTAAGTCTCTTATTTTCTCCACACTGGAATACTTCTGTATATTAAGAGCCCTTTTCAAGGCAGGAGATACTTCAGAACTAGAAATCATACATCTCTTTACTTCCCATGTACATAAATACAGTGAAACATCTGAACTATTGGATCACTTGAATTCCCTCAAATTATACTCCTTGGAATATAGGTGAGAAAGGTACATCATAATTTTTAATTGGAAAATCCTGGAGGGACTGGTCCCTAACTTGCACACCAAAATCACTCCATATGAAAGCAAGAGACTTGGTAGACAGTGCAAAATAAGTCCAGTACAAAACAGAAGTGTGATGAGGACACAGAGGGAACTTGATAAGTGTAAGGGTTTTTTGACTTTCTTCCCTCAAAGGAAGTTCCTTGATGCTGGTGAGAGGCTCTTGATTTAGGGAATTGGATCTGTGCTCCAGTTCCCTGGATTGAGCCTGAATGCCTTTCATCCCCCCCCCCCACAGGTGCTGTATAATCCTATAGGTTTAGCGCTCCCCCATGATTATAATAATCTTGATTTTCTAATGCCTTCCTTTCATGCATAAGGGAAATTACTGTATTAATAAATCTGTTAGTATCTTCAAGGGGAAACTTGATAAGTTCCTCAAGGCAGTTCCTTATCAGCATGATCAGTCAGGCTGGTAAATGGGAGGTCTGGTCTGGGACTGGGCTGTGGGGGAGATGGCCCCCTGCTATTATCGTAGGGTATATGTGTGAGAGTATTAGACAGGAGTGAGTGGAAACGAATGGTTTTTGGAATATAATGAGCTGTTGGAGTGTGAGCATGGTAACGTTTTTTGAAGGGATTCAGGGAAACTAGTTAGCTGGATTTAAGTCCTGGAGGTGGGAAGCATAATGCCTGCACTCCAAAGGAAAGATCTGGAATATTTGCTTTTTGGAGTGACAACTGTCATATCTGCAATGGCAAGTCAGTGTGATTGATGGTGAAAGTATTTCTTTTTAGGGTCACCCTGCCTTGGTGGGAGATGGCCAGCATGTTAAAAAATAAAATAGATAAGGTAAGGTATTTGTTGCAGTATCCTTATCTTAGGTTGTTTATAGTAAAACTCACAGAAATATACTAAGAATGTGCAGTCTTAGATCTGAGATAACTTCACTCTGGGCAGCAGATTTGGTGGCCAGAGTGAAAATGCAAATTATGCCGTATAGACATTTTGCCATGAATTATGTGGTAAAGGGTTAAACAAGTAATTATGGCATGCAAAAGGAGAGATTATTATTAAAGTGAGAAATAGATTCAGTGTGTGTTTACAGCCTGCAGAGAGCCAATAAAACATTTAAATTACTAAGAACACCTCAAAACCCTAAATACAAACTTTTTGGAATGGAGGAGATACATGATAATTTATACGTGGATGTTCTTGATGGTCTAGTCCCAGATCTGCACACTGCTATAACAGTATACTGGAGTGAGAGATATGAGAGAAAATGTACAATAAACCCTGTGAAAAGCAAGGGCACTGTGAGCCACACAGGAGAATATTGTATCAATATCCATAGACATAGATTATTTAACACTACCAGAAGATAACAGAAACACTGCTGGAACAAGTGTAGAGGTCTTCAAGAGGACACCCAACAAATAATAATAATAATAATTATTGTTGATTATCATGATGAATAATGCAACATTGTTTAATCTTTACAGTTAACCAAAGAAGTGCCTCCAATTATGAATGTGTTAAACCTTCATGAAAATCTTCTGGAGGCGCTACTAGAGGTCGGGGCATATGCTGATGCTCAGGCAGTTCTGGCTAAATATGATGATATAGCACTACCCAAGTCTGCTACTATATGTTACACAGCGGCACTCTTGAAGGCGCGCACAGTAGCTGATAAGTAAGTGTCTCCTCCAGTATGAAGGAAAGATGTAGAGAAGCTTTTATTGTGACAGTGGTTTGCTTTGTATAGATCTTTATCAATTAATTTGATAAAGCTCTGTAGAGAGCAAAGCGTTAAAAAGTTTGCTCAACACGTCTTTATTAAGTTCAGCATTAAAGCTTTACATTCACTCCTCCAATTGTGACTATTTGTGTGAATAAGGCAGCATACCTTGCAAGTGAGAGTCTCATCTCCCATGATGCAGAAATACTTTTTTTTTTTTTTTTTTTTTTTTTTTTTGTGTGTGTGTGTGTGTGTGTGTGTGTGTGTGTGTAAATTTGGCTGTCTCCCATTGAGGTAGGGTGACCTGAAAAGAAGAAACACTTTCACCATCATTCACTCCATCACTGTTCTGCCAGAGTTGTGCTTACACTACAGTTATAAAACTGTAACATTAACACCCCAAAATGCAATATCCCCCATACCTCCTTCAGAGTGCAGGCACTGTACTTACCACCTAAAGGACTAAAGTCCGGCTAATCAGTTTCCCCGAATTCCTTCACATTTCTTACCTTGTTTACACTCCAACAGCTCATCAAGTCCAAAAAATTACATGCCTCCACTCCAATCTAACACGCTCGCACATGCCTGCTGGATGTCCAAACCCATTGCACACAAAACCTTGACTCCCTCCCTCTAACCTTTCCTAGGGTGACCCCTACATTGCCTTCCCTTTCCATTGCAGATTTATACACCCCCCAATCACCCTTTTTTCTCCACCTCTTTAAATGCTAACCACCTCAAAAAACCCCTCCTCAGCCTTCGGATAATACTTTATAGTAACCCTACCCCTTTTTCAAATCTCCAGGCTACAAATTCTCTGCATGATATTTACAGCACACTGCCTTCAGACACATCTCCACTGCCTCCAGCCTCCTCCTTACTACAACATTCACAACCTATGCTTCACACCCATATAAGAGAGTTGGTACCACTGTACTCTCATACGTTCCCCTTTATGCCTCCATGTATAACTTCTTTTTCTCCACAGATACCTCAAATGCACCACACACCTTTTTCCCCTCATCAGTTCTATGGTTCACCTTGTCTTTCATAGACCCATTCACCGACATGCTCACTTCCAAATAACTGAACGCATTTACTTCTTTTATACTCCCTTTTTCCTATACTATATTCATTCTTTCATTACCTAAGTCATTCCTTAACCTTACAACCTTGCTCTTTCCTATGTTCACTTTTAATGTTCTTTTGTAACTTCTCTTCAGAATCTCCCCAAAACAGCGTCATCAGCAAAAAGCAACTGCAACAACTCCTATTTTGTATTAGATTCTTCATATTTTAATTCCACACCTCTCCCCAACACCCTAGCATTTACTTCCTTTACAGCCTCATCTACAAATATATTAACCCTTTGAAAATTATTTTTTCTTGTGAAATAATAGAGAATCTTTTCCTGATGGTAATGACACCAAAAGTATGAAATTTGATCGAGAACTTACAGAATTACGCTCCCGTGAAGTTAGCGATCTCGGCGATTTCGCCGAATTTGAGCCCTATTTTTGGCCAATTCCATTGTTCCAGTTGACCAAACTCATAGCTATTTCTTTAGAACTCCATTTTGTCTATCAATTGAGTACAAGAAACCACCCATTTACCAATTTCAACTACCCAATAAAGTGGTCAGAAATTGGCAGTTTAGCCAATTTCACAAATTAAAAAAGATGCAATTTCAAAATAGGGTCCAGAATAAACAATGCAGACATTCTTGGCACTAAAATAACATATCCTCTGTTCATTAGTCACGTCTCCAGGCCCCTCTTATATTATGTTATGCAGACTACTGCATTATTGTAAAAATGGTATAAATAATATCAATGCACTAGTGAAAGAGTATTAGACTCCCCAGTTGATGTGTATTGGACGTGTTGTGTGATTTGCTTACTCTTGAATGCTGGTAAAAATTGAACATTTCTGCTACTTTGAGCTCAATTTCAAGGTCGTTTTCATCATGAAACTAATCAAAATCATCTCTGTTTCTGTAAAATGTTTTCCATGTTATCAAATGAGACCAAGAAAACGGGAAAACAACCATAAATAATATACAAAAATACACTTCAAAGTTGGCGTTTTAATCCAAAAACACGGTCGGAGTTTTTTTCTCATGCACTGCGTGCTGCAGGATTTTTTTTGTACAGTGCACACTGACCACACAGACTCATTTTCTCACATGTGGGCCTACCAGTTTTCTCCTGCTTGATTTGAAACCGCTAGAATTATTGAGTATATATACATCTGAAACACTGGCTCATAAGACGTATATATACAGCCAAAACAGTCAAAGGATTAAACAGTCATAGTGACATCACACATCCCTGTCTAAAGCCTACTTTTACTGGAAAATAATCTTCCTCTGTTCTTCATACTCTTAACATGAGCCTTGTTATCCTCATAAAAAAAAAAACCTCTTTAACACTTTTTGCTTTTTTTTTGAGTTAACCTCCACCTGTTTCCCCAAAATTAAAAAAAAACCCCACCCCCCACTTATTTTGGGCCCAATCAAAGCCCAAAAAAAATCCTACCCTTGGGGGGCCCAAAAAAACCCATTTTTTGTTTTGATTTTTTTTTTCCCCCCCCCTAAATTTTATTTTTTATTTTTTTTTTTTTGGACACACTTATTCTAAATTCCCCATGTAATGTTAACAATAAACTTCTAAATTATCCTAAATATTTTGGTTTCTAACACCATTAAAACAAATAAAGAATTTTAAAAAAATTCCGTTATTTTACCCCCCCCCCCAATGTAAACACTTGGTCTACATAATCCCCTACTCTTCCTAAAGCCTCTTTGTTCATCTGTGGTTCTGCTTTCCATCTTGCCATTAATTCTTTCAGTAAAAACTTTACCACACACTTTACTGGGTAAACTCACCAGGCTTATTCCCCCCATAATTTTTACTTTCTCTTTTGTCTCCCTTTCTTTATGCAAAGGATCTATGCATGCTCTCTGCCAGTCCATAAATACCTTTCCCTCTTTCATACATCTATTGAACTAAAGTACCAACCACTCCAAAACTATATCCCCACCTGATTTTAACATTTCTGTCTTGATCCCATTAATCCTATTTGCCTTATACCCTTTTATTTAACCACAGCCTCATGCACCTTCCCCACACTAACATCTGGCTCTTCTTCACTCCTAAAAGATAGTACAGTAGGGCCCCATTTATACAGCAGGTTAGGTTCCAGGCTACTGCTGTAAAATGGAACACACTTTTTTTTCCACTTATAAATGAATATAAATACTAGATAACAAGTTTACACTAACATATATTAAGTTAGCAATATAAATAGGCATTAAAAAACAATAGAAAAGTAAAATACACATATAGTAGTATACTCATTACTTAACTTAAAATGTTTGTAGTCTTAATGTAGGGTGAGATGAGTAGTATTTATTATAAGAAATCAAGTGTGGTATGTATGGTAGCCAGCCAGGCTACCACACCAGGCCAACCCACCCACACATAATATTCTATGACATCTAAGCGTCCCAGAGCTATGAAATGCATATACAGTTCACTCATTACTTACCTTTAAATATGTAGTCTTATGTAGGTTCAGAGGTGAGTAAACGAGGTAAAACAAATAAATTAAAGAGAGAGAGAATGAGTACGTGAGAGAGGACAGGTGCGGAGTTATGTAAACAAACCAGGCGAACACGTCTGGTTTGTGTACAAGTTGTCTCTACGTTGATATGGTAGAATAAAGAGGAACACTCCCATTCTCATGTAACACCATTTTTAGAAGAAATGACGCTTTGAGCGAAGGCATACGAAAGGAATCATTTTCTACAGTTACCCCCAGTAACACATTTTCTCTTATGTTATTCTTGCCGTCACTCGTACAAGTCGTCTGGCTACCACATCGCATGTTTATGTTTAATTTATTCTACAGTGGAGTGTATTTATCATCTTTATATGTTATGTATCGTGTCGTATATTATTTTAATGTTATGTTTATTATATATTTTTGAAAAAATATCATAGATGGATCAATGAAAATGTGTTTATTAACATAATATACAACATTTAATGAGACTCTGATTATCATTGAGTATTATTATTATCATTACTAATATGGCATCTCAAGACATAAGACACTCTTACTGATTTTAATGTGTACCTGCACGCCAGCACAGTGTGTATTTAGGTACAGGTATACGTAAGTATAATTATCAGAGTATATATAAAATATGAAATAACTTTTAAAAACACTTGAAATTTTGGAGTTTCCAGACATAATGGAGAGATGTGGTGCTTATGGAGCTAACGGAGAATGTAAACAAACCTGGTGGGGCACGGCGACTGTATTAGAAAGTCAGGTTGGGGGAGCCGTATAGCGAATATTGGTCATAATTTGAAATGTCCGTATTAGCGGAATGACGTAAAGTAAAATGCCGTAAAGTGAGGCCCTACTGTATACTTCCCTGACCATTGCATGAAATCACAACCTCCCTCTTTTCACCAACATTTAACAGTTCTTCAAAATATTCCCTCCATCTTCCTGATACAACTTCCCATCTAATAAGTCTCCTCTTCTGTCTTTAATGTCAAATCCATTTGTTCCCTTGGTTTTCTCAACCTATTAATTTCACACAAAACTTTTTCTTATTCTCAGTGAAAATACTTTTATAGTTACCTAATGTACATGAAGTACAGGATAGTTCATTTTTGTTTTTGTGGAAGTATGCATAAAGTATAGGGATGAAAAAATCTTGGTGTTACATTGGACTACTATAAATGATATTGCTTTTTTTCCAGATTTTCTCCAGATATAGCCAGTAAACGTGGTCTCACAGCAGCAGAAATGGCAGCGGTTGAAGCTATTCACCGTGCTGTAGAGTTCAATCCACATGTTCCCAAGGTAGCCACTTAAATGTATTAAAAGTTTAAGTGTACATTTGCAGTACAGTACCGAACAATCTTTTTCTAATCAAGAATGTTGATGATGATACATATGACTTCTAAATAAAATAGGAAAACATATGGGGAAGTGGTAACAGAAAATTTGAAATAAAAACACTTTAGAATAAGTGGAAAGTAAAGCAATTTATATATATTTATTCGTAGTATTTTTTTCTCTGAAGAGGTACAGCATCCAAATATATACAATTCCATAAAATGGAATTATGTAATGTTTATCTTGCACTCTTAAAAAGTGCATGATGGACTGGATGTGCAATATTTAACAACAGCCTGTGTCCACAAAGGTAGGGTAACCCAAAGGAGGAAATGCACCAACTCTCATTCATTCAATAACTGTCCAGTCGGAAGTGTGCAGTCATGATATCTCAAATTGTCCTCCAAACTGCATCATCCCTACCCATCCTTCAGAGTGCAGGCACTATACCTTCCACTGTTAGAATCTAAATCCTTCGAACTATTTTTCATTAATTTTTTCATGCTATCTTGCTCACATTCCAATGGCATATCAGGTTGCAAAAAACAAATACCTGTAACTTCATCCATTTTCCCTCAAATTTCATGCCCAGTTGTTTATTACCCAATTTTTTCATGCTTCATCACTTTTCTTTTTTCTGTGTTCACACTCAACTTTCATTATTGAACATCCCTTTCAAATTCCTCTACTAAACTGAATCTCCTAGCACAGTGTCATCAAAATTGGCCAATTGTGTCACCTCCCATCTTGTATCATTTTATTTATTGACACTGAGTGTCTCCCACATAGGTAGGGTGACTCAAAAAAATGGAAACTCATTGACCATTACATGTTCAATAACTGTCTTTCCTGAAGTGGACAGACATTACAGTTCAGTTGACCTTTTGGGCTTCTATACCCTACCACACCTTCAGAGTGCAGCACAGTACTCCAGGACTTAGTCCTTCTAACTGGTTTATCTGAATTGCTTTATAAATATTACCATGCTTGCACTCTGACAGCATGTTAAGCCGTAAAACTACTTGTTTTCATTCGTTCTGATCTGGCATGCTCAAGCTCATAGCACTGAAAACTTCCTTACCCCCTGCTCCCTCCAACCCTTCCTGAGATGACCCCTCTCTCTCCTTCCTTCCACCCAAATTTATGCATCTTCATAATTCTGTTTTTTTTTTTTTTAACACATTGGCCGTTTCCCACCAAGACAGAGTGACCTAAAAAGAAAGAACCCCCCCCCCCCAAAAAAAAAAAAAAAAAAAAAACTTTCATCATCATTCAATACTTTCACCATCATTCATACATAATCACTGTTTTTTTTTTTTCCTCTCTAAACACCCAGACCACATCAGTAACCCCTCCTCAATCCTCTGAATTATTCTTTTGATAACCACATACTGTCTTTTAACCCTTTCAGGGTCCGTCCCGTAGATCTACGGCTTTACGTTCAGGGTCCAAACCGTAGATCTACGCCATGAGCTCAGCTCACTCTGATAAACTGTGAGTGGTACATTTGGGCCTAGATATGAGAGAATACATCTATGTGGTATGTGTGCACCACATAAAACAGATCCTGCAGCACACTGTGTATAATGAGAGAAAAAAAATGAAATCATTATTTTTCAATTAAAACAGCAACTTTGCAGTGTTTTTTCGTATGTTTTTTATAGTTGTATTTGCGATTTCTTGGTCTCATTTGATAGAATGGAAGACATATTACAGAAATAGAGATGATTTTGATTGGTTTTAGCACTGGAAATGGCTTGAAACTGAGCTCAAAGTAGCAGAAATGTTAAATTTTTGCCGATATTCAAGAGTAAACAAACGACCTCACACGTCTAATACACGTCAGCTGGTGGGTCTAATATACATTCACAAATATGGTGATGATATTTATACAATTATTACAATATTGCATAACAGTAAATCTTCTATTTTTTGGTGTGAATAAAAATTCATTATGTGAATAAAAAATCAAAATGGAATTTATTTGTAAAGCCTCAAAACATAACTAATGAACAGAGGAAATGTTAGTTTAGTGCCAGGAATGCCTACATTGTTCATTCTGGAACCTATTTTGAAATTGGAATATTTGGAACTTTGTGTTAAATTGGCCAAATTAACAATTTCCGATCACTTTATTTTGTAGTTGAAACAGTTGACTTGGTGATTTCTTGTGCTCAATCGATAGAATAGAAGTAATACTAGTGAAATAGCTAAGAATTTGGTTGATTGGAATAATGTAATTGGCCTAAAATGGGAGTCAAAGTCGGCAAAATCGCCGATTCGTAAATATCGCTGACACATCAAAATTCGCGAGAGCATAATTTCGTCAATTTTCCACCAAATTTCGTACTTTTTGTTTTATTAACTTCACAAAAAGATTCTCTACGATTTCATAAGAAAAAATAACAAATTTTTTTTTTGAAAATTCTTGGACACTGGTGCGTGACTCCAGATTTGGGCCTTGGACCCTGAAAGGGTTAATTTCTATGCTCCAAATTTTTGGCATAATATTCAACCCAGTTATTGCTTTTTAACATATCTTTACTGCCTCCAGCCTCCTCCTTGCTGCAGTGTTTGAAGCCCATGCCTCATTTACATGTAAAAGTGTTGGTATAACTATACTGTGGTACATTCTTCTTTTGTGGCTCTGTAGAAAAACTTTTTCTTTCCATGGATGCTTCAACATATCACCTACCTCTCCCCTCCTCTCCTAATCTACTGAGTGGTTTACCTCATTTTTCATAGACCCACCTACCAACATATTTCTTTCCAAATATCTGAATACATTCTCTTCCTCCATGCTCCCTCTTTTCTGTCTTGAGTACCTACATGACTGCCTAATGTTACCACTCATGCCAGGATCAAACTTTGTTCCTGCATTTGTGAACAAAATGTATAACCACTTGAGCCACAAGCCACTTTGTTTTGTTTAAAGATTGTCTGTGAGGCATACCTTACATTTGGAAGGGAACAGGAATACTTCCCATAAACTATTATTTTTTGATCCTTTCCATGTATATACATATTATATAAAACCATGGAACAGGTAGGGATTGAACCCATATCAAGTGAGTCCAAAAACTCCAGGCCAGTGTGTAAGCTATGGGTTTAATCCCCAACATTTCTGTGGTTTATTTGCAATCTTGTTATTACAATTTCATGAGTCTTTTACATTTAATATGGCCAAGGCATAAATCTTTTAAATAATTGAAGTCCTTTACATTATCCACAATTTACACTAAAATGAAGTAAATATTTTGTCGTAATAAGCTAAGTTTCATGTTAAAGACCAACTTTCTATTCACTTGTACTCCCTCACAAAATTTTTGCACTCTTTCAGTTCTTATTCTGCTAGCACTGGAATCTTTTCTCTCCTTTGTACTGTATGACCCACATGAATTTGATATATTGTGCACATAATTAATATCCTCTCCTTTGATTATACAGAGTATTTATTCTGAGAGGTGTATCTCATGGAGTGTGGATACTAAATAACTAAATCTATATGAAAATAACCAGTTTCCCTGAATCCCTTCACTAAATATTACCCTGCTCACACTCCAACAGATCGTCAGGTCCCAAGTACCATTCACTCCTATCTAACACGCTCATGCACGCTTGCTGGAAGTCCAAGCCCCTTGCCCACAAAACCTCCTTTACCCCCTCTCTCCAACCCTTTCGAGGACGACCCCTACCTCGCCTTCCTTCCCCTATAGATTTATAAGCTTTCCATGTCATTCTACTTTGATCCATTCTCTCTAAATGACCAAACCACCTCAACAACCCCTCTTCTGCCCTCTGACTAATACTTTTATTAACTCCACACCTTTTCCTAATTTCCACACTCCGAATTTTCTGCATAATATTTACACCACACATTGCCCTTAGACAGGACATCTCCACTGCCTCCAACTGTCTCCTCGCTGCTGCATTTACCACCCAAGCTTCACACCCATATAAGAGTGTTGGTACTACTATACTTTCATACATTCCCTTCTTTGCCTCCATAGATAACGTTTTTTGACTCCACATATACCTCAATGCACCACTCACCTTTTTTCCCTCATCAATTCTATGATTAACCTCATCCTTCATAAATCCATCCGCCGACACGTCAACTCCCAAGTATCTGAAAACATTTACTTCTTCCATACTCCTCCTCTCCAATTTGATATCCAATTTTTCTTTATCTAAATCATTCGATACCCTCATCACCTTACTCTTTTCTGTGTTCACTTTCAACTTTCTACCTTTACACACATTCCCAAACTCATCCACTAACCTTAGCAATTTTTCTTTAGAATCTCCCATAAGCACAGTATCATCAGCAAAAAGTAACTGTGTTAATTCCCATTTTGAATTTGATTCCCCATAATTTAATCCCACCCCTCTCCCGAACACCCTAGCATTTACTTCTTTTACAACCCCATCTATAAATATATTAAACAACCATGGTGACATTACACATCCCTGTCTAAGACCTACTTTTACCGGGAAGTAGTCTCCCTCTCTTCTACACACCCTAACCTGAGCCTCGCTATCCTCATAAAAACTCTTTACAGCATTTAGTAACTTACCACCTATTCCATATACAGTGGACCCCCGGTTAACAATATTTTTTCACTCCAGAAGTATGTTCAGGTGCCAGTACTGACCGAATTTGTTCCCATAAGAAATATTGTGAAGTAGATTAGTCCATTTCAGACCCCCAAACATACATGTACAAACGCACTTACATAAATACACTTACATAATTGGTCGCATTCGGAGGTAATCGTTATGCGGGGGTCCACTGTACTTGCAACATCTGCCACATTGCTCCTCTATCCACTCTATCATATGCCTTTTCTAAATCCATAAATGCAATAAAAACTTCCCTACCTTTATCTAAATACTGTTCACATATATGCTTCAATGTAAACACTTGATCTACACATCCCCTACCCACTCTGAAACCTCCTTGCTCATCCGCAATCCTACATTCTGTCTTACCTCTAATTCTTTCAATTATAACCCTACCATACACTTTTCCTGGTATACTCAATAAACTTATTCCTCTATAATTTTTACAATTTTTTTTGTCCCCTTTCCCTTTATATAAAGGGACTATACATGCTCTCTGCCAATCCCTAGGTACCTTCCCCTCTTTCATACATTTATTAAACAAAAGTACCAACCACTCCAACACTATATCCCCCCCTGCTTTTAACATTTCTGTCATGATCCCATCAGTTTCAGCTGCTTTACCCCCTTTCATTCTACGTAATGCCTCACGTACCTCCCCCACACTTACATTCTGCTCTTCTTCACTCCTAAAAGATGGTATACCTCCCTGACCAGTGCATGAAATTACCACCTCCCTTTCTTCCTCAACATTTAAAAGTTCCTCAAAATATTCTCACCATCTACCTAATACCTCCCTCTCCCCATCTACTAACTCCCCAACTCTGTTTTTAACTGACAAATCCATACTTTCCCTAGGCTTTCTTAACTTGTTTAACTCACTCCAAAATTTTTTCTTATTTTCATTAAAATTTCTTGACAGTGCCTCTCCCACTCTATCATCTGCTCTCCTTTTGCACTCTCTCACCACTCTCTTCACCTTTCTTTTACTGTCCATTATACTCTGCTTTTCTTATAACACTTCTGCTTTGTAAAAAACCTCTCATAAGCTAACTTTTTCTCTTTTATCACACCCTTTACTTCATCATTCCACCAATCACTCCTCTTTCCACCTGCCCCCACCCTCCTATAACCACAAACTTCTGCCCCACATTCTAATACTGCATTTTTAAAACTATTCCAACCCTCTTCAACCCCCCCACTACTCATCTTTGCACTAGCCCACCTTTCTGCCAACAGTCGCTTATATCTCCCCCGAACTTCCTCCTCCCTTAGTTTATACACTTTCACCTCCCTCTTACTTGTTGTTGCCACCTTCCTCTTTTCCCATCTACCTCATACTCTAACTGTAGCTACAACTAAATAATGATCCGATATATCAGTTGCCCCTCTATAAACATGTACATCCTGGAGCCTACCCATCAACCTTTTATCCACCAATACATAATCTAACAAACTACTTTCATTACGTGCTACATCATGCCTTGTATATTTATTTATCCTCTTTTTCATAAAGTATGTATTACTTATTACCAAATCTCTTTCTACACATAGCTCAATTAAAGGCTCCCCATTTACATTTACCCTGGCACCCCAAATTTACCTACTACTCCCTCCATAACATTTTTCCCCACTTTAGCATTGAAATCCCCAACCACCATTACTCTCACACTTGATTCAAAACTCCCCACGCATTCACTCAACATTTCCCAAAATCTCTCTCTCTCCTCTACACTTCTTTCTTCTCCAGGTGCATACACGCTTACTATAACCCACTTTTCACATCCAATCTTTATTTTACTCCACATAATCCTTGAATTAATACATTTATAATCCCTCTTTTCCTGCCATAGCTTATCCTTCAACATTATTGCTACTCCTTCTTTAGCTCTAACTCTATTTGAAACCCTTGACCTAATCCCATTTATTCCTCTCCATTGAAACTCTCCCACCCCCTTCAGCTTCGTTTCACTTAAAGCCAGGACATCCAGCTTCTTCTCAGACATATTTTGTGGAAAATATGTCTGGCAAAATGATAGAGCCATGGAGTGGCTTCTCATGTGTGCAGTGTATGTAGCTGAAAGAGGTGCGACCTTGTGCAGCCTCTTGTCTGCTCCACTACCAACAACCACCAAAATAAACATGGCTACCTATTATTTAGAGATGGCTACTTTACAGTTATTTACATCTGCTGAAGCTGGTTGCTTACTATGTATTTGCAAAATGTAAATTATATTTTATAATAGTTGATGATCACTTTCAAGTAATCTGGGAAACAGTTTTTTAGAAAGGTTGTTCAGGTGTTCAATTTACTGGTGCTGCTGTACTGAAACCATCACTTGTCAGTAACAAAGCTTACCATTGTTCCTGACTTTGAGCATATAAAGCACAGGCTGATTTTCTGAGGCTTTTTGGGGGAAAACTGCACCTTATATGCCAGAAAATATGGTAATTTTCTTCAATGAAAATCTTGTATAATGTATTCTAGAATTAGGTCAGCAACCATATTTTTAATTTATTAAAAAATTATTGTTCGCAGTAGGTGCTTATAAAACAATATCCACTTGAGCTGATAAATGTGCAGAAAAATTATATTCAGATAATTAACTCACATAACCCTTTCAGGATCCAGAGGCCAAATTTCAAAGTGTGCACCAGGGTCCAAGAATTTTCAAAAAAAAAAAAAAAATTTATTTTTTCTTACGAAGTTGTAGAGATTCTTTTTCTGAAGGTAATTAAACAAAAAGTACCAAATTTGATGGAAAACTGACGAAATTATGCTCTCGCGAATTTTGATGTGTCTGTGATATTTACGCATCGGCAATTTTACTGACTTTGACTCCCATTTTAGGCCAATTACATTATTTCAGTCGACCAAATTCTTAGCTATTTCACTAGTATTACTTCTATTCTATCGATTGAGCACACGAAATCGCTGAGTCAACTGTTTCAACTACAAAATAAAGTGATCGGAAATTGGTAATTTGACCAATTTAACACAAAGTTGAAAATATTCCAAATTCAAAATAGGGTCCAGAATAAACAATGCAGTCATTCCTGGCACTAAACTAACATTTCCTCTGTTCATTAGTTACGTTTTTCAGGCTTTACAAATGAATTCCATTTTGATTTTTTATTCACATAATGAATTTTTATTCAAACCAAAAATAGAAGATTTACTGTTATGCAATAATAATTGTAATAATTGTAATAATTGAATAAATAATATCTCATTTGTGAACGTATATTAGACCCACCAGCTGGTGTGTATTAGACGTGTGAGGTCATTTGTTTACTCTTGAACATCGGCAAAAATTTAACATTTCCGCTATTTTGAGCTCAGTTTCAAGCCATTTTCAGTACTAAAACCAATCAAAATCATCTCAATTTCTGTAATATATCTTCCATTCTATCAAATGAGACCAAGAAATCGCAAATACAACTATAAAAACGTACGAAAAAACACTGCAAAGTTGCTGCTTTAATCGAAAATTACGGTCTCAGTTTTTTTTCTCATTATGCACTGTGTACTGCAGGATTTGTTTTATGTGGTGCACACATACCACATAGATGTATTCTCTCATATCTAGGCCCAAATTTACTGCTCACAGCTTATCAGAGTGAACTGAGCTCATGGCGTAGATTTACGGTTTGGACCCTCAACTGAAAACCGTAGATCTACGGCACGGACCCTGAAAGGGTGAAGTCAAAAATTCTAGAAAAAACATTTTAGCTTTAAATGGTTGTGCAAAACCAGGAACAGAAGAGAGAATCTCTGAAGCATAACGTCTCCCTGAGAGACATAACAGTAATTTCTGGCTTCTTTTTTCACCAGTATCTCCTGGAGATGAAGCCTCTCATTCTTCCACCAGAGCACATCCTTAAGCGAGGCGACTCTGAGGCTATTGCTTATGCATTTTTTCACCTTCCACATTGGAAGAGGGTAAGTGTATGTGGCTAGCTTTACAATAAATTACATTACTAAATAAATTTTGTTTAGATTCCTGAGTAAGAGGCACTCTAAAGACTATTTTTTTAAGCAAGTCTTATTTTGGTAAATGGTAAATTATCTTTAACAGCTTGACAAAGCTCCTGAAGAGTGAAATGTTGCCACAATAAAATGTCACCATGGTTGTTTAATATATTTATAGATGGGGTTGTAAAAGAAGTAAATGCTAGGGTGTTTGGGAGACGGGTGGGATTAAATTATGGGGAATTAAATACAAAATGGGAATTGACACAGTTGCTTTTTGCTGATGATACTGTGCTTATAGGAGATTCTAAAGGAAAATTGCAAAGGTTAGTGGATGAGTTTGGGAATGTGTGTAAAGGTAGAAAGTTGAAAGTGAACATAGAAAAGAGTAAGGTGATGAGGGTATCAAATGATTTAGATAAAGAAAAATTGGATATTAAATTAGGGAGGAGGAGTATGGAAGAAGTGAATGCTTTCAGATACTTGGGAGTTGACGTGTCGGCGGATGGATTTATGAAGGATGAGGTTAATCATAGAATTGATGAGGGAAAAAAAGTGAGTGGTGCGTTGAGGTATATGTGGAGACAAAAAATGTTATATATGAAGGCAAAGAAGGGAATGTATGAAAGTATAGTAGTACCAACACTCTTATGTGGGTGTGAAGCTTGGGTTGTGAATGCAGCAGCGAGGAGGTGGTTGGAGGCAGTGGAGATGTCCTGTCTAAGGGCAATGTGTAGTGTAAATATTATGCAGAAAATTCGGAGTGTGGAAATTAGGAGGTGTGGAGTTAATAAAAGCATTAGTCAGAGGGCTGAAGAGGGGTTGTTGAGGTGGTTTGGTCATTTAGAGAGAATGGATCAAAGTAGAATGACATGGAGAGCGTATAAATCTGTAGGGGAAGGAAGGCGGGGTAGGGGTCGTCCTCGAAAAGATTGGAAGGAAGGGGTAAGGGAGGTTTTTGTGGGCGAGGGGCTTGGACTTCCAGCAGGCGTGCATGAGCATGTTCGATAGGAGTGAATGGAGACGAATGGTATTTGGGACCTGACAATCTGTTGGAGTGTAAGCAGGGTAATATTTAGTGAAGGGATTCAGAGAAACTGGTTATTTTTGTATAGCCGAACTTGAGTCCTCCTGGAAATGGGAAGTACAATGCCTGCACTCTAAAGGAGGGGTTCGGGATATTAGCAGTTTGGAGGGATTATGTTGTGTATCTTTATATGTATATGCTTCTAAACTGTTGTGTTCTGAGCACCTCTGCAAAAACAGTGATTATGTGTGAGTGAGGTGAAAGTGTTGAATGATGATGAAAGTATTTTCTTTTTGGGGATTTTCTTTCTTTTTGGGTCACCCTGCCTCAGTGGGAGACGGCCGACTTGTTAAAAAAAAAAAATTATTACATACTTATCTTTAGCCAGTAAGTAGTCTGGTCCATATTGTTTTTAGGCCTCACTCTCAAGTGCCCTTCCATCGACCTGTAATTACTTTATAGGTTGCCTGAGTTAGTCAAATTCTTATACTTATACTGACCATACCTGAAGGGGCATATTTATACTGACAGTACCTGAAAGGACACATTTATAATGACCGTAACTGAAGGGACATATTGAGAGAAAAGTTTAAGTGGAATTGGCTTACTTCCCATGGGAAGGAGTGTATTGCATAATCCACACCTTCTCCATTAAGTTCTTTTTTCATACAGAAAAATGGCCATGGACATCATGTACATACTGCCTTACTAAAATGAGAGAATTGTCGTGACTGTCTCCCGGTGTTCTGTGACCTTGCAGGAACACTCACACATTGTACTGCTGCTGCTGCTATCCTGCAGTGTTTGTGCTCCTAGTTGATTGTTCAGCTATTCTCGCTGCTGCTGCTGCTGAATACAAACTTCTACATTAGACTGGCTTGTACTGACATATTGTTGCATTGTCCCTTCTTCACTGCTGTGGCTGCTCCACTACATGTCTGTGGATGCTGCTGGTTCACTGTGGCAGCTGCATTGTTGTCAGCATAACTCATAGGTTACTGAATCACTGACTTTACTGTCACATATATACATATCTGACATATATACACCCTTACATATGTACACCTCTCATGACTTCAATATTGTTTCGGTACACACCTTATTTTCTTATCAATTAAAATTGTGCCATCATGAGACCATTACTATAAGCACAATATTGTTTGGAGCAGTCATACACTGATTTTTTGCAACAGTAGTGTTACTGCAAACTCAGTACATTAGGGCATTGTTGTATTAATCAGTGGAAGCAATTCAAGACACCTACCATAAATCAAGTGTGGGGATATCAAGATTTCTGTATTGGAAATCTGGTCACTACACTATGAGTGTATTATTGACTTTAGTTTTTTCTGTGCTACCTTGTCCAAAATTCTTCAAAATTAACCTTCTGTTCATATAGGACTTTCCTCAAACTCCTTGTCACTGTTTCCAATCATATGCTCATAGAAGCCACCTTCTCAAGGAACTCTCTTGTAATAAAAATTGAATTCACAGCAGCTTTGATTCAACATTTGGATCACTTTAGGATTGTTACAGATTCCATCAAGATAGAGTGAGCTGGCTAAAAAGTTGTCTGAGATTGTGATGCTCTTGTGGTCTTGGTTCTACCATTTGGCTTATAACACAATGCTAAGGAGTTTTTATAACACTTTCTTCCCTGGATGATCCAAAAGGACTGTCGTAAGTGACACAATGTATCCTGCATCCTCCATGCAGTACACTTATGTGAGCACTTTGTACTATAAAACAGGTGAATGAATAACTTTTATGACTCAAGGTAGAGTGCTTCACTTCTCTCATCTACTTTCACATTTTGGATTCTACCTCTTCACCTCATTATATGCTCCTCATCCTGGTAGACCTAATATATTTGTTAATCTCAGTTTCTCTAAAGCAATTTCTCTTCTGTTTTTGGGCACTCAAGCTTGCTGATATTTGCCTTCTCAGCACTCAGCATTTAAGTGAGGAGGAAAATAATATTGTTCAGCATATGAAGAAATTTGAAAACTAGTGAAAAAACATTGAGCAACTTTTTCAATGTTGAATATCTAGTCTCATCTATAGCTAACTGGAATCTCGTTCTTAGTAGCATAATTTTTTACTAGGTTTACAAGAGGATTGGGAGCTATGTTTTCCTTCTCTTGCCAACAGTTTTCCTTAGTCAGAAACTCAGAACCATAAAACCACAAATCATTATTTACAAATTTTATCATCTCTTCATCCCTGTACAACAAATCTATTGGATTGTCAGTGCTAGGGATGTGCAGGTAAGTTATAGGCATACTATACTATACTATCTGCTGTGCCTCTTCTACCTGATTCTTGACATAGACTATCGTGTTACTACAGTTTGTAATCTGCTGGAGTGTCACTTCATTATCAGACCGTGTGTAGATCTGATTTGTATGTGGATTGATTTTGTCAACATTTCTAATACTGTATGTATATATTGACTCAATTTTATGCCCCAAAAAATGTTGTTAGTTCTGATCGTGGTAGTATTCTCATTTTAATGGTGCTACAATTGCTTTGGAAGTAAGGTTGTGACTTCCAGTAGCATTACTAAGATGGGCCACGGCACTGTCCAGGACCAGGTTAAAGGGACTGCAACCATAGAATTTTACTACACACTAGTTTTGAAGAACATATCTGCCACATTTTACAATACTGTAATTTTACTGTAATTTTTACCACTGAATATATCATTGCTTAGTTAAGATTAAGTTAATTTTAAGCCTGCCCATAATGCTCTGCATACAAGGGACTTTTGGCAGGTACACCCAATCACTATATTTCTTTGTACAACTATGTATCATGTCCAAATAAAAAAAAAATAGATTACTGTACTTTCGGTAAAGGAGTCGTAGTCATGTCCCCAATATTTTTGTGCAAATATAAGTTTAACATTTCTGAATTTATGGCTTGAGAGTTTCTCTTGGAGTTTGTAGATTCTGAGGGAGACAGCAGGTGTTGTCTTAGTGTTAATATTTTTTATCTGTTTTAACCAATGAATTATTCCCACAGGTGGATGGGGTTCTGAATCTCCTTCACTGCACTTGGGAGGGAACCTTCCGTATCATTCCATATCCTCTAGAAAAAGGTCACCTCTTCTACCCTTACCCTACGTGTACAGAGTGTGCTGACCGAGAGCTTCTACCATGTGAGTGCTTGCATTTGTCAAGTGTTGCTGTAGCTAGTATTAAAATTGATATGATACACCAGTGTGAAATGTATGGTATTTGATTTGAATGATTAATATAAGTGATAATTATTAAAATACAGTATGTTTTGTGATTCACATTCATTGTTGTAATTTAAAGATAGAACTTAAAAAAAATCACTGGTTTATTCCTTTTATTTTCTGCTTCTCATTCATAATATTTTTCCTGTCCAGTAGAATTACTTCAAATTGAGTGGCATAATTTGGGTGATAAAAGGTATCAGAAAGTCTCAGAGAACTCCAAGTTTTTAGTATATTAATCAGGAGATGTTCTCTAATTCTCCCACTTAGCAACACTTTCGTCTCTCATTGACACTTAACATAGTACAGTGGTATCCCAAGTTTCGAACTGCTCCCAACTCGACCAATTATGTAAGTGTATTATTGTAAATGCTTTTATAAGTGTATTTTTGGGGGTCTGAAACGGACTAATCTAATTTACATTATTCCTCATGGGAACAAATTCGTTCGGTAACGGCACTTGAACAGCCTTCTGGAACGAAGAAAGTTCGAAACTCGGGGTACCACTGTATATGAACGATGTTTATTTTCTCTTCTACTCCTCAGAAATGTCCTTAACATTTTATTGAATACTATGACACTAGTTTTCAAAGACCATCGTAGTCCACAAAGCAAAAATCCTTACTTCCATTATATTATGATATTTTTTCTAAAATGAAAAGGGGTAAGGCAGCCGGGATTGATGGGATAAAGATAGAAATGTTAAAAGCAGGTGGGGATATAGTTTTGGAGTGGTTGGTGCAATTATTTAATAAATGTATGGAAGAGGGTAAGGTACCTAGGTATTGGCAGAGAGCATGCATAGTTCCTTTGTATAAAGGCAAAGGGGATAAAAGAGAGTGCAAAAATTATAGGGGGATAAGTCTGCTGAGTATACCTGGTAAAGTGTATGGTAGAGTTATTATTGAAAGAATTAAGAGTAAGACGGAGAATAGGATAGCAAATGAACAAGGAGGCTTTAGGAAAGGTAGGGGGTGTGTGGACCAGGTGTTTACAGTGAAACATATAAGTGAACCGTATTTAGATAAGGCTAAAGAGGTCTTTGTGGCATTTATGGATTTGGAAAAGGCGTATGACAGGGTGGATAGGGGGGCAATGTGGCAGATGTTGCAGGTGTATGGTGTAGGAGGTAGGTTACTGAAAGCAGTGAAGAGTTTTTACGAGGATAGTGAGGCTCAAGTTAGAGTATGTAGGAAAGAGGGAAATTATTTCCCAGTAAAAGTAGGCCTTAGACAAGGATGTGTGATGTCACCGTGGTTGTTTAATATATTTATAGATGGGGTTGTAAGAGAAGTAAATGCGAGGGTCTTGGCAAGAGGCGTGGAGTTAAAAGATAAAGAATCACACTTAAAGTGGGAGTTGTCACAGTTGCTCTTTGCCGATGACATTGTGCTCTTGGGAGATTCTGAAGAGAAGTTGCAGAGATTGGTGGATGAATTTGGTAGGGTGTGCAAAAGAAGAAAATTGAAAGTGAATACAGGAAAGAGTAAGGTTATGAGGATAACAAAAAGATTAGGTGATGAAAGACTGGATATCAGATTGGAGGGAGAGAGTATAGAGGAGGTGAATGTATTCAGATATTTGGGAGTGGACGTGTCAGCGGATGGGTCTATGAAAGATGAGGTGAATCATAGAATTGATGAGGGGAGAAGGGTGAGTGGTGCACTTAGGAGTCTGTGGAGGCAAAGAACTTTGTCCTTGGAGGCAAAGAGGGGAATGTATGAGAGTATAGTTTTACCAACGCTCTTATATGGGTGTGAAGCATGGGTGATGAATGTTGCAGCGAGGAGAAGGCTGGAGGCAGTGGAGATGTCATGTCTGAGGGCAATGTGTGGTGTGAATATAATGCAGAGAATTCGCAGTTTGGAAGTTAGGAGGAGGTGCGGGATTACCAAAACTGTTGTCCAGAGGGCTGAGGAAGGGTTGTTGAGGTGGTTCGGACATGTGGAGAGAATGGAGCGAAACAGAATAACTTCAAGAGTGTATCAGTCTGTAGTGGAAGGAAAGCGGGGTAGGGGTCGGCCTAGGAAAGGTTGGAGGGAGGGGGTAAAGGAGGTTTTGTGTGCGAGGGGCTTGGACTTCCAGCAGGCATGCGTGAGCATGTTTGATAGGAGTGAATGGAGACAAATGGTTTTTAATACTTGACGTGCTGTTGGAGTGTGAGCAAAGTAACATTTATGAAGGGGTTCAGGGAAACCGGCAGGCCGGACTTGAGTCCTGGAGATGGGAAGTACAGTGCCTGCACTCTGAAGGAGGGATGTTAATGTTGCAGTTTAAAAACTGTAGTGTAAAGCACCCTTCTGGCAAGACAGTGATGGAGTGAATGATGGTGAAAGTTTTTCTTTTTCGGGCCACCCTGCCTTGGTGGGAATCGGCCAGTGTGATAATAAAAACTAATAATAAAAATATTTTTTCTAAGAAATATTATGTATTTGTGATCTCGTGTGATCGTGTTAGAGGTGCATGGAGACAAACAAATGGTTTTAAATGGATATGCTATTGGAGTATAAGCAGGGTAACTTTATGAAAGGATTCAGGTGAGCCGGTTAGACTTTACCATTTTACTTGTTTTTCTCGATCCTGCCCCATGCAGTGCAAGGGGTAGGATCTTTTTATACTGTACATACTGTACAGACCTGTTCTCTCATATCTAGGCCAAAATTTACCCCTTGCAGATCTACGTGAGGAACACTGGCATCGGTGACATAGATCTACTTGGGAGACAGTGAAAGGGTTGAACCAAATAGAAAAAATACAGATAAAGATGCCTAAAATATGAAATAATCTAAAATTTTCCCTTTAAAAGTAGGCCTTAGACAAGGATGTGTGATGTCACCATGGTTGTTCAATATATTTATGGATGGGGTTGTAAGAGAAGTGAATGCGAGGGTCTTGGCAAGAGATGTGGAGTTAAAAGATAAAGAATCTAACACAAAGTGGGAGTTGTCACAGTTGCTCTTTGCTGATGACACTGTGCTTTTGGGAGATTCTGAAGAGAAGTTGCAGAGGTTGTTGGATGAGTTTGGGAGGGTATGTAAAAGAAGAAAAGTAATAAAAGTGAATATAGGAAAGAGTAAGGTGATGAGGATAACAAGAAGATTAGGTGATGAAAGATTGTATATCAGATTGGAGGGAGAGAGTATGGATGAGGTGAATGTATTCAGATATTTGGGAGTGGACATGTTAGCGGATGGATCTATGAAGAATGAGGTGAATCATAGAATTGATGAGGGAAAAAGGGTGAGTGGTGCACTTAGGAGTCTGTGGAGACAAAGAACTTTGTGTGTGGAAGCAAAGAGGGGAATGTATGAGAGTATAGTTGTACCAACACTCTTATGTGGGTGTGAAGCATGAGTGGTGAATGTTGCAAGAAGGAGAAGGCTGGAGGCAGTGGAGATGTCGTGTCTGAGGGCAATGTGTGGTGTGAATATAATACAGAGAATTCGTAGTTTGGAAATTAGGAGGAGGTGCAGGATCATCAAAACTGTTATCCAGAGGGTTGAGGAGGGGTTGTTGAGGTGGTTTGGACATGTAGAGAGGATGGAACAAAATAGAATGACTTCGAGAGTGTACAAATCTGTAGTGGAGGGAAGGCGGGGTAGGGGTCAGCCTAGGAAAGGTTGGAGGGAGGGGGTAAAGGAGGTTTTGTGTGCGAGGGGCTTGGATTTCCAGCAAGCATGCGTGAGCGCATTTGATAGTAGTGAATGGAGACAAATGTTTTTTAATACTTGACGTGTTGTTGGAGTGTGAGCAAGGTAACATTTATGAAGGGATTCAGGGAAACCGGCAGGCCGGACTTGAGTCCTGGAGATGGGAAGTAGTGTCTGCATTCTGAAGGAGGGGTGTTAATGTTGCAGTTTTATAACTGTAGTGTAAGCATGCCTCTGTCAAGACAGTGATGGAGTGAAAATGATGAAAGTTTTTCCTTTTCAGGCCACCCTGCCTTGGTGGGAAATGGCCGACTTGTTAATAATAATAATAAATTTATTGACTCCAGAAACAAAGAGAATTTTAGCATGTTTACTTTTAAAACATGTAGTTTTTTTTTTCTTTCTCTTTATAAATGTTATGCAAAAAGGGACACGTGCTTCTTTAACCCTTTCAGGGTCCCCAGGCCCTCTCCCAGACTTGTTCTCAGGGTCGCCCAAATTTCAAAAAAAAAAAAAAAAAAATTCTTATGAAAAGATAGAGAATCTTTTCCCAGTCATAATGACACTAAAAGTATGAAATATGATGGAAAACTTACAGAATTATGCTCTCGCGAAGTTAGCGGTCTCGATGATGTTTACACATCGGCGATTTTGCCCACTTTGAGCCCTATTTTCGGCCAATTCCAGTGTACTAGTTGACAAAAATCATAACTATTTTGCTAGAACTCCATTTTTTTCTATCGAATGAGTACAAGAAACCACCCACTTACCGATTTCAACTATCCAGTACAGTGGTCAGAATTTAGCAATTTTGCCAATTTCACACAAATTTCAAAAGATGCCAATTTCCAAATAGGGTCCAGAATAAACAAGAAAGACATTCCTGGCACTAAATTAACATTTTCTCTGTTCATTAGTCATGTCCCCATGCCCCTCTTACATTCTTTTGCTTTCCACTTTGAATTTTTTAATCTCACAAAAAATAGAAGATTTACTGTTATGCAGACTACTGCATTTGTGTAGAAATGGTATAAATAATATTGGCGCACTTGTGAAAGAATATTAGACTCACCAGTTGACATGTATTATACGCTTAGCATGATTTGTTTACTTTTGAATTTTGGTAAAAATCGAACATTTCTGCTACTTTGAGCTCAATTTCAAGGTACTTTTCATTGTAAAACTAGTCAAAATCATCTCAATTTCTGTAATATGTCTTCCATTCTATAAAATGAGACCAGGAAAACTAGAGCACAACAATAAGTACCATACAAAAATACATTGCAAAGTCGCTGTTTTAATCCAAAAACACTGTCAAAGTTTTTTTTTTCTCATTACACACTGTGCTGCAGGATTTTTTTTATACTGCGCACACTGACTGCATAGACCCATTCTTTCATATGTAGGCCTACCAGCTTTCTCTCACTAGATTTGAGGGCGCTAGAACGTCAAAAACCCTGGTGCGTAAGCCGTGCTAGTACGTCCGAAACCCTGAAAGGCTTAAGTATCATTCATGCAATGTTATGAAAAGAATCTCAGTAGAGTATTAGATGTATTAATAAGAAATATTGTAGTTTAATTATTCATAATGATTTTAAGCATATCCATACTTTCAATGTTTGAATGCTCACCTTTTGTTAGATGTATTTTTCAGATGTAATTTTTTCATCATCATAAAGAAAATATCTTTTTATAGCCTGCATATTTATGTTTTCCTACACAGCTTTCCATGAGGTGTCAGTATACCCAAAGAAGGAGTTGCCATTCTTCATTGTGTTTACCGCAGGGTTGTGTTCCTTCACAGCTCTTCTGGCACTACTCACTCACCAGTATCCAGAACCCATGGGGGCCCTGGCCAAGACGGTGCGTTTAAGTGGAATAATCCTTTACATAGTGTCATTCTAATTCCTTATGTTATCGTCTCTGAGGCAGCATTTTTATATTCAGTAGTCTATTGTGTATTTTTTTTATTCTTTTTTTTTCTACTTTAGAAATGGTACAGTAAACCCTTCATTAATACAGTAATTAAAATGATCTCAAGAAAGACGAATTCATCAACACTCGATTGAAAAACAGTAACCATACACAAATAACCCGTACATAGAAGAGAGGAGCTTACATCATCATAAGCTCCTCTCTTCTATGTGTCGGTTATTTGTGTATTGTTCTGGTTATGGTATTGTGCCTTTTTTTATGTTATTAACAGTAACCATAATTTGATTTGCTCTGAAAACTCCCCTGATGCACATGCTATAATTTGTGAAGTATTCAAGAGTGATGCATGAAACCCAGGGTGGCCACACATTGGTGGGAGAGGCTATTGTTTTTAATTTCACAAACTCCAACTTCTATTCAATATACACATACCTTTACTTTCTTGTGGCTCTCTCAATAATTCTTTTTAATGCACCGGCCATCTCCTACTGAGGCAGGGTGACCTAAGAAGAAAAACAAAAGTTTTTCTTTTTACATGTAGTAATTTATGCAGGAGAAGGGGTTACTAGCCCCTTGCTCTTCTTTATAGTTCTTATCACTTAACTTTAACTTTCTAACTTAGGAGGCCTGATCTGAGACTTGGTCATATGGAAGATATCCCCTAAAACCACTTTCAGATAGGGAACTCCCGGCATCATGCTTTGGCGTCATCGCACTACACTCTCGACAGTGACTTTCTGGAAGCATAGCATGGTTGTCTGTGTTTATCAAATGATTTTGGATCTTATCTTTACCTCGTCTCGGGATACTAGTGATGATGGAGGTACCAAGATGTAAATTGTGAAATTCCATGGGTTTCTAAGAAAACTGAGGTACAAGATGTTTTGCAGTGTATACTGAAAGTAAGAGGCAGTGCATGAAGGCTAGTAACCCATAATTACATTAATTACTGTGCCTTGATAATAACAAGAAAGTTGTGTAGTGAAGTTGTGGTGGTGGTGATGATGATACACAAATAACCCGCACATAAAAGAGAGAAGCTTGCGACGACGTTTCGGTCTGACTTGGACCATTGACAAAGTCACACTAACCAGAGGTGGAGCAGGACGGCTATATATAAGCAGGAAGAGGTGGTGGTAGTAGTAGTAGTAGTAGTACAAGAGTTGTATATAATACCGACAAGATGAAATTAAGACACATGCACAACACCCGGGCATCCCCATCATAGACGTTTCGCCATCCAGCCAGCCACTGGATGGCGAAACGTCCACAACAAAGACAACCAGACGCCTCACATGTGTCTTAATTTGATGAAATTAATTTGAAATTAATTTGATGAAATTAAGACACATGTGCGGCGTCTGGTTGTCTTTGTTGTGGACGTTTCGCCATCCAGTGGCTGGCTGGATGGCGAAACGTCTATGATGGGGATGCCCGGGTGTTGTGCATGTGTCTTAATTTCATCTTGTCGGTATTATATACAACTCTTGTACTACTACTACTACTACTACTACTACTACCACCACCTCTTCCTGCCTATATATAGCCGTTCTGCTCCACCTCTAGTTAGTGTGACTTTGTCAATGGTTCAAGTCGGACCAAAACGTCGTCGTAAGCTTCTCTCTTTTATGTGCGGGTTATTTGTGTATCGTTCCAGTCACGGTATTGTGCCTTTTTTGTTATTTATTGGTGATGATGATGGTGGTGGTGATGCTGCTGCTGCTGCTGCTGCTGCTGCTGTGGGATTTGAGAGCTACCACAACTTACACCTCATTGAGCTCTGCTTCAGTTTCAGTGCCCTCAGTCTCTCCTCATAGGAAGATTTCTGATGTCTAGCAGACACAATATGTACTGACTGAGGCTCCCATGACACCAGCTGACTGCACGAAAACATTACACTATTTAAGGATTCCTCAAACCATGCTCTGTCAAGCATAGTAATATTTATTTGACTAATAAAATGAGAGTCGTTGTGGGGGCAAATAACTGCTAGTTGCTACTCTTGTTATATCATCAGCAATGTTTTGAGAGAGGAGATGGAGGCATGTTATTTCCCTGCTGACTCTGGCTTCACTTAGGCCCAAGTGTGTGGTGTTATTGTCTCTTCCATTTAACACAATGTTATCGGCCCCTCATGCATAGAGTTAGATATGGAAATCTATGATCATACAGCATACTGGGTTAATATTTTCTCGAAGGCTTTCATCTTTAGTATGCGTTTCTTTTGTAGGCTTGGTTCAGTATTTGTACAGTTTGGAAAGAACATGTTACTTTTGTTTTTGACTTGTGTTGATTGCTGCTGCTGCTGCTGCTGATGGTAGTAGAGATGAGGAGGTGGTAGTGGCAGGGGTGATGGTGGTAGTGGTGGTGGTGTGGTGTGGTGGTAGCTGAAGCTGCCTCCCACATTTTTGTACAATAGTTTTTGTTTCTGCTTTATCAAATGCATTTTTTCTTTGGTATATGTTCATTTTGTATACAGTATATATGGCGAGTTCATTTACTTTTGTCTTTTCTGGCCGGGGATTTGATCTCCAGACCTCACTGATGAGAGCTGCGACTCTATGCACGAGACTATGACACCTACATCATTTATTTTTGGTACAGTTTGGTAAGGAAATTTGGCTTTTATTTTTACAATGTTTACCGAGCGCATGTCAGTTGATAAAGCTTGCTACACTCAACTCGCCCCAGTAGGCCAATGTTAACCCTCCTCACATTCTTTAAATACCTCATGTAATAATTAACAGAATGTAAGATAAACTACTAATTTTTATCTAGTAGAATGTTAAGAATTTTTTTTTTTTTTGCCAATTTGCAGGTGTCTGGTATGTAACCTTATATTTTCACATGTTCTTCACTTCATTGGACACAATTGGAAGTTAAGCCACTGGGTTAATTGAGGGTTTACTGTATCTATTTTTTAAGAATATAAATTGATAATGTAGATCTTTATCTATATAATGTTTTTAACATCACATGCTGGTGCTTGGTAAGGCACCAAGTGTTTCATGTTAAGTGTGCATGAAGCCTGTCATTGATAGGGTATGCATGGATGCTCCTGGGAATGCGGGGAACACAGGGTGTGCATGTGTAGGGCATGAGGGTTAGTGCACGTAAGGCATGCCAGTGCATTCAGGTCTTTGCCATGGTGCATTCTTCTCTAATGTACAATATCAGGCCTTAGTGCAGTATATTTTGATGTGTGCATAGTATACTGGTATACTGGTTTATCATTCAAGGTGCAAGAGACGTAGGGATAAGCTAGTGTGTGGGCATTCATGGGAGGGAAGGTGCATATATCTGTCTGTTGCTTTCTGGTCGGGGTAGTGGTAGTTGCCTCCCTACCACTGCAAGGGGTGACTGGTAGAGAGTGAGTGCACTTGTCCTCCTGCAGGGGACATGTGGGTGGTAGGTGAGGGCATGGTCAAGTGGGCATGATATATCATTCTAACATCAAATGAAACTAAATAAAGTATAAAAATACTGTACTTGGAAAAATCTTTCTCAAATTCTAGGATGGTTGCACCCAGACTGCTAGCTTTTGGTGTCATTACGTTCAGAAAAAGATTCTTTACCATTTCAGAAGAATTTTTTTTTAAAGTGGGGTCTGGACACTGAAGGGTTTAATTATGGTTGCTTTTGTAAGTCAGTTTTGAAAGGAGTGATCTTACTGGGCTGGGGTGGAAGACAGGTGGCTGAGGTGCTTGCACTAATGTCGATGCAGAGTTGTCATTAGGTGATGGTTCTTTTGAAGTACCGAGGTATTCTATAATGTGTGTCTGATCTGTTTTACTATGCAGTACTTCATGCAACTGATAGTTGGCATAGTTGATGGTATCTGCAATGTTAAATTTATGCCAGAATTCTGGCACTCCAAACTCTGATTCAGGGTCCATTGCCTGGACAAGTTTCTACATCACTGCACCTTAATGTCTTAGTCACTCCTTGATCCAGTAGTTGTAATAATGATGATGTGTTTGGTGGTAAAAGCACAACTTTAGATGTTGGTGCACATCCTCCAAGAGTTCTGAATGAATGCAGTAATTTTCAAGAATAAAGAGAAACTTAAATACAAAGTTCTTGTAATGCAGGTAAAACATGACTTTGGGAATAATATGATGCTCAAACCAACCAATAAGTAAGGCCTCTATCATCCATGTTGATGGGTTTGACCTCCAAATAACTGGCAAAGAGGCTTAGTCAGTACCTTACAAAGCACTGAGAAATTTGGAGTGGTAAATAAGCATGGATTTATAATTAAAATCGCCTGATGCATTTCAAACAGTAAAAGGCTGAAACTATCCTTTGCTGCCTTGAATTCCATTACACTTTTGTCAAGGTGGCTGATGTAGGTTCTCCATGGCGTTATCGTCCAATAAACACTTCCCTTGCAAACATTAAACATTTACTCCAACTCTGAACCACCTTAAGAAATAGTTTCTCCTAATTCATCATGGAAATTCCCTGTGACCAGCAGCAGCACTTGAACCAGAAAATTTAACATTTTGCAACTGGTTGTGGATCTTGAACCTGTGGAACCAGCCAGTACCAAACAGGCACTCTTGTTCAGCCTCTCCTCATTATGCACTGTTTTATAATGCTTTTAGGCTTTTTCCTTTGTTATGATGAAATTAATTAAGTGGTGCACCTTTTTTGCTTTACTACTCTGTCCACTCCCTCAATTTTTCCATCTTATTTAATTGTTGTGATCTGTGTCATTTTTTCAGTCAGCCCGAGTTACTCATGCTGCCTCTGTCACATGTACCACTTGAGTTTATCTAGAATCTCAAATTTTTTAAAACACCAAGACTTTTATGCTTATGCTTCTTAACACTTCCAGCATCACTCACATTCCTCTTGGGTGCCATGGTTACTATCCAGAGACAAGATTGGTCAGTGAAAAGATAAAAATTTGAATCGCCGAAATAGGCTGAGTATGGTATTTGACTCGTATGCATGGAGAACCGATGACGTGGGAGATTGTGTTTATTAAAGAGTGCAACTAGACACTGGGCTAGCCTGTAGGTTCACTACTAGATGGAGGGCAAAGAACCTGCAGTGTCCTGTGTTTTTACCTAGATATTCTCTGTGCTAGCTAATAAGTAGGACGTGCACATCAAAATCATTGCACTTTTTCCAATCGTGTTATTGCGAAAAGTATTTATAGATCACGTGTTAATCAATGGTTTACTGTAATTTATAATTCCTTTTATGTGCAAGAACTTTCCATAATTATTTGTTTATATTTCAGCTCCTGAGTTGGTGGTATGTTCCCATCCAGTATGTGCTAGAGAAGTTAGAAGCGGTTTTGCCTTCAAATCTCCTACATCACTTATCACGAATCTGACCATCATGCTTAAGGTACTTACATAATTAGTCATTTAAGTATAGACTTTGATTCTTTGTTTACAAATGCCACCATGGGTGACAGTATGGTGTTGTTAGTGCCACCACTAATAATAGTGTAAGTGCTTTAATTAAATGATCATTTTTCTTTCAGTATGGTAGCAACTGCTGGGAGCATCATTCTTTGTCATTGACGTTTCATTTCAACACATCCTGCAGCAGATATTGTTATTGTGTCAAAATTAGCTACTGATAGTGTTGGTTGGTGCAGTAAAACTATTTCCTGATATTGAAGATTTTAGTTTTAATTAAATCAACCGCAGGCTCCAATTGCTTATTTTGTCACACCTAGTGTTGTGATTTGCTGTTTAGAGTTACAAATTGTACTTAAGTATGCTTGAACTTGTATGGTTATTTATGAATGAAGAGAGACAAACATGACTCGTACTGAGATGCTGGTGTCCATTGCACAAAACAATCAAGATATATTTATTTTGTCAACATGACTAGATAACTTAGAGCCAGAGATTATATGAAATAAGAACATCCCATTTATTCACCAGATATATGATAGAATGTGAACTCATACACGAGTAAAGATTGCTAAAGTTGAGTATATCAGGTCTTATGTGTATTGTATTTGCAGTCTGCTTTGTAACTTGCTATGCAAAAAATTTTAATTTGGATAAACAAGATTTTATTTAGGAAATATCAAAATTGTTGAATTACTGGTGTGTTATACAAATAGTCTAAAGGTATACTTTTTAAAACATACATATTTATATATTTTTTAATGGGAACCATTTGAGTAAAACTATAAATAATGTACATGAAATGCCGTGTATCCATACTTGCATAATATTGACACAAAGGATATATATTTTGAAAGACAAATGTTTGGTTAATTTTTTAAAGTATAATAATTGTAACTCTGGATACTTTTTAATCTTCATAGTTTTAGTAAAGGCTGATTATACACTACAACTTGTTAGCACCTCTATATATATGAATTACTGTGTCTACAAAGGTGTCAATATTAGCTGCTTCCCAGACAAAAGAAAGAGCAAGCAAACATGATGAATTTTATGAGAGAATATATTATATTTATTTTCCGAAGCACGGACTTGCTGTTTGGTAAAGATGTTTTCAGTTTATGATTTAAAGCAAGAAAAAATTAATAACTTGGCATCTTTTTTTTTCTTTGTCTATGTGCCCATACCTGAGAGTACCAGATTTAAAGCCTTGGCTTATTTGATCAGTATGAAAATTTAATACAGGAGGGCCCTGCATGTACAGCATTCTCTTTTCAGTGTTCCAATTTTCATTGGCTGTAAATTGAGTCATTGTTCATTATGTTCCATCCACCACAAATTTCCACCAGTGGGTGGAACAATGGCTCAGTTGAAAGCCAATGAAAATGTGAAACACTGAAAAGGTAAAGTGTGTGCACAATTGTAACAAAAATATTTTTTTTTTTTTCTTCAACAAGTCGGCCGTCTCCCACCGAGGCAGGGTGACCGAGGCAGGGTGACTGAGGCAGGGTGACCGAGGCAGGGTGACCGAGGCAGGGTGACCGAGGCAGGGTGACCGAGGCAGGGTGACCGAGGCAAGGTGACCGAGGCAGGGTGACCGAGGCAGGGTGACCGAGGCAGGGTGACCGAGGCAGGGTGACCGAGGCAGGGTGACATTTAATAAATATAAAAGAAATTTTTGTATCTTGTGTACATTATTTAAGTCAGATTCATATGGCTTCTGTGAATGAGTTCCTAGTTCCTCATTATTTGTAAAACTTCTGACATCGTAACATTACATAAGAGGGACCTTGGTTATCCAGGATATAACCAGCGCTACGCAACCCTTATAGGTTTAGCGCTTTCCATCAATATGATATAAAAATAAGTCTGAAGAAAAATGGACTCGTGAATATCTCAGATTTTAGATTCTGGATAAGTAACTAAAAAAAAATTGTCATCATTTATTTGTGATGTAATTAGATTCAGTGAGTTATATAATTTTCAAAATTTGATGTCTTATAATCAGTTTTATTGCTTGTGAGACTCGGCACAAATGAAGTATTGGTGTACTTTTTTTTTTTTTTTTTTTTTTTTTTTTTTTTTACATTTGTGCATCTTGTACATTAAAATAACAGATTATTTAATGAATTTAGTTTTGCATTATATATTGTTTCCATATCCTTCTTAATATAAAAGAACATTTTATCTTAAAATTCCTGTAATATACTCTTCATAAGGTGTTTATGATTTTAAAGAATATAGTAGAGTGAAACATGTGGTAGTGCTAAAAATATGAAACAGCAACATCCAGAGGTAGTAATAAAGGCATGAAACAGAGAAATGTTTGGAGGGGGTTATAAATGAATAAGAGAGAAACAGCTTGGGGGTGATTATAAATGCATGAAACAAAGATTGAGGAATGATTATAAATGCACAGAACAGAGAAACATCTAGGGATGATTATGCTATAGTAGTAAAATGTATTGATTGCACAGTCGGGCACTGCTGAGTGTGACCTCTCCATTATCTGGAGGTGTTCTGTGAATTCCTTGTGACCCTGATTTACCTCATCACTAACCATCAATAATAACCTAGACCATTGTACTGCCACAACTGGTTAATATGCATCACTTTCCTGAATGGAACACATTACCTCAGCTTTTCCATCATGCTATATGACCCTTTCCAGGCCTTTTTCAGATTAAATGATATTCCTTTCTTGTATCAAGAGTTATGCAACCTGTACTTATATACCTGACAGGAATGCTGAAAAAACGTCAAATCGTATTGCCTCTTTGTAGTTTTCCCGCTATCTTCGGGTTCTTTTGTTATTGGTGATGTTCTTTGTTGAAATGCTCCTGCAGTTCTTTAATGATCATGGGAATTTTCTGCTAAACCTTCAGATGGTTGGCTCATCAATACTGTGTATTTATATCTGAAGTTTGCATCCAGTCATTGTCTTGGCTGGTGAGTAACTTGCCGACTCATGCTCTACAAACTGGTATGCCATCAGCAGAGTGGAAAACTTTAGACAGTAACTGCCATAAAATCCTTCATTGGTACAATTTTTTATTGGGCGAGCTATTTCAAGAAGAACCCATTCATGGGTGAAATGCTATGCCAGTAGTGGACTCCACTGTAACTTGTCAGTGTCCTGCCTCCAGTTCTAACACTGAAAGGAGGACTGTTGTAGACCTCTAACAAGATGGCAGCACACATTTGCTTTGGTAGGTTGGTAACACACTGTCATCTTCCATCAGTACTGCAAGATGATGTCCTTTAGCTGTACAACAAGCTGTTGTACCAAGTAGTGTACTTGGTATATGCCAACTTTTCCCAAGCTGGCCTAAAAAATTCATCCACCCAAGGGTGTTTCTGTACACCATAGGAAGGTCAGTGTGGGTCCCAATGTGACCACAAAAGCAGCTTATTACAGATGAATCTCAATGCTGTATGACCCTAATGGGTTTAGCACCTAGTTATGACTGTAATGATAATACAGATGAATCTCACACCAACATAGTTGTGGCAAGCTCTAGCTCATGACATATCAAAGCTGTTATGAATGACTCGTGAAATCCTATGACTTAATTGTAAACAGTGGATCACTTGCTAGCCTTCTTATGGTGTATAGAAATATATGTACATAGTTCGACAAATTTTATTAGGCCAGCATGGTAAGGTGAAAAGTGCACTGGTTCGTTAGTTTTAGGATTGGGTTGCCATAGGTTCTAAACCAACATGGGGTTTGAACCCATGGCAAGCGAGTCAGACTCCTGGCCAGTGCTAGGGCTGCCTAGAGTTTACCTGGAGAGGGGTTTCAGGGGTCAGTGCCCCTAAGGCTTGGTCTGAGACCAGGCCTTGTGGTGGATCAGGGTCTGATTAATTAGGCTGTTATTGCTGGCCGCACACAAGCCGATGTACGAACCACAGCCCAGTTGGTCAGGTACTGACTTCAGGTGCCTGTCCAATGCCTTTTTGAAGACAGCCAGGGATCTATTGGTAATCTTCCCTTATGTATGGTGGGAGACAGTTGAACAGCTTTGGGCCTTGGACACTTATTGTGTTGTCTCTCAGTTTACTCGTGGCACCCCTGCTTTTCATTGGGGGAATGTTGCATCTCCTGCTGAGTCTTTTGCTTTCATAGGGAATGATTTTTGTATGCAAGTTTGGTACTAATCCCTATAGGATTTTCCAAGTGTATGTTATCATATATATCTCTCCTGCATTCCAGGGAATACAAATCGAGAGCCTTCAACCATTCCCAGTAATTTATGTGCCTTACGATTTGAAGACAATCATCATGGGTTTGGCATCCCCAGCTTTGAAGGTTCTCATTATTCATCCTATCATTTTCCTAGCAGGTGTGTTAGATACACTGTTGTGGTCTTTGAAGGCGAGATCCTCTGGTATTATCACTCCCAGGTCCTTCACATTACTTTTTTGGTCTATTGTATGGTTAGAATTTGTCATATACCCTGATACAGTTTTAATTTTGTCAAGTTTTCCATATCTCAAGTTGAAATTTCTCTTCATTGAAATTCATATAATTTCGAGTGGCCCACTTGAAGATTTGGTTTATGTCCGCTTGGAGTCTTGTGGTATCTTCGATGAAGGTCACTGTCATGGCAGTTCGGGTGTCATCCACAAAGGAAGACGTGGAACTATGGCATACATCTCTGTTTATGTCAGATATGAGGATGAGGAATAGAATGGGAGCAAATTCTGTGCCTCATGGAACAGAGTTTTTCACCATAGCTGCCACAGACTTTACTCTGTTTACTATTACTCTTTGTGTTCTGTTTGTCAGGAAGTTATAGATCCATCTACCAACTTTTCCTGTTATTCCTTTATCACGCATTTTGTGTGCTATTACACCATGGTCACACTTGTCAAAGGCTTTTGCAAAGCCTGTGTATACTACAGCTGTATTTTGTTTATCGTCTACAGCATCCAGGACCTTGTCATAGTGGCCCAGTAGCTGGGACAGGCAGGAGTGACCTGCTCTAAACTCATGTTGCCCTGGGTTATTTAATTCATGGGTATCTAGGTGGTTGCCAATCTTACTTCTTAGAACCCTTTCAAAGATTTTTATGATATGGGATGTTAGTGCTATCGGTCTGTAATTCTTTGCAATTTCTTTACTGCCACCTTTGTAGAGTGGGGCTATGTCTGTTGTTTTAAATGACATACTTCTGCAGTGGTACCTTGAGTGCCCCAACTTACAAGTTTTCCGAGTTATGAGACATCGCTCGGTCGATTTTTTGCTTTGAGTTCCAAACCAAAATCCGGATTATGAGCGAGCTTCAGATATGTAGCCACTAGTTGGCGGCGTATCTGAAATCAAATCCTACTCTGTACCCAGAGGAATGTCAGGTACTTTGTCCCATCCCACATACTCTTCCAAGACATAACTGGAAGGATAATATTTCCACGCTAATCCCAGATTGTAGTAAGGCACCTTGTCCCTTGTTTGCTCGTATAAATCCGGGGAAGAAGTAACCTCCATTTCAATGCTCAGAGTTTTTCCAGAAACATTAAGGAAAGCCTCTGTGATATTTACCTGCCTCATGAAAGTTCCTTTAATGGGTGGAATACTGATAGTGGTGGGTGGAGTAGAGATGGTGAGTGGAGTAGTGAGGGTGGTGGATGGAGTAGTGATAATGGTGGGTGGAGTAGATATGGTGGTAGATGGAGTAGTGATAATGGTGGGTGGAGTAGATATGGTGGTGGATGGAGTAGTGATAATGGTGGGTGGAGTAGATATGGTGGTGGATGGAGTAGTGAGGGTAGTGGATGGAATAGTGATAGTAGTGGGTGGAGTAGCAATAGTGGTGGGTGGAGTAGTGTAGGTGGTGTCTATCTTTTCCGGCCTCCACTTCCACCAGCATCTTCCGTCATCCCAAGTCGTCTGATCTCCAAGGTAAATACATTTTATAAAACCAGTTTATTTCTTTACATTCTCTTTTATTATGTTTTATTATGTTTTTATACAATATTTCTTATTTATAAATACAGTCTTCTTATTGAAAAACCCGCAACAAAAAAACGGGTGTAACGTTTAGACTACTATGACAAGGTTCTGGATGCTGTAGAGGATGAACAAAATACAGATGTAGTATACACAGACTTTGCAAAAGCTTTCAACAAGTGTGGCCATGGTGTAATAGCACACAAAATGCGTGATAAAGGAATAAAGGGAAAAGTTGGTAGGTGGATCTACAACTTCCTGACAAATAGAACACAAAGAGTAACAGTAAACAGAGTAAAGTCCCAGGCAGCCATGGTAAAAAGCTCTGTTCCACAAGGCACAGTACTCATTCCCATTCTATTCCTCATCCTCATTTCTGACATAGAAAGAGATATAAGCCATAGCTCCGTGTCTTCCTTTGTAGACGACACCCGGATTACCATGGCAGTGGCCTCCATCGAAGACACCGAGAGACTCCAAGCAGACATCAACCAAATCTTCAATTGGGCCACTCAAAACAATATGAAGTTCAACGAGGAGAAATTTCAACTACTCAGATATGGGAAACTTGAAGAAATTAAAAATGTGTCAGGGTATACAACAAATTCTAACCATGCAATAGAGCGGAAAAGTAATGTGAAGGACCTGGGAGTGATAATTTTAGAGAATCTCGCATCCAAAGACCACAACAATGTATCTACCTTATCCGCTAGGAAAATGATAGGATGGATAATGAGAACCTTCAAAACTAGGGACGCCAAGCCCATGATGATTCTCTTCAAATCGCTTGTGCTCTCTAGGCTGGAATACTGCTGTACACTAACGGCCCCCTTCAAGGCTGCCGACATTGCAGACCTGGAGAGTGTACAAAGAACTTTCACGGCACACACAAGTACGATAAGGCACCTAAACTACTGGGAACAGTTGAAGGTCCTTGATCTGTATTCCCTCAAATGCAGGCGAGAGAGATACAGGATAATATACATTTGGAAAGTCCTGGAAGGTTTGGTACCAAACCTGCACACAAAAATCACTCCCCATGAAAGCAAAAGACTCGGCAGGAGATGCAACATTTCCCTGATGAAAAGCAGAGGCGCCACGGGTACACTGATAGACAACACAATAAGTGTCCGGGGCCCAAGACTGTTCAATTCCCTCCCAGCATACATAAGGGGGATTACCAATAGACCCCTGGCTGTCTTCAAGAAGGCACTGGGCAGGCACCTAAAGTCAGTACCTGACCAACTGGGCTGTGGTTCGTACGTCAGCTTGCATGCGGCCAGCAGTAACAGCCTGGTTGATCAGACCCTGATCCACCATGAGGCCTGGTCTCAGACCAGGCTGCAGGGGCATTGACCCCCGAAACCCTGCCCAGGTAAACTCCAGGTACTAAAAACACCTGATGCTGGTATAGGTAACTATAAAACTACTCTTTATTAAGTTTATTCAGGTATACACAAATACAGTTACATAGATTATCATACATAGCAGCATAAGTGTAGAAAACCTAGGATAACCCAAAAAGTCAGAGTAACTCTTTTCCATTGGGGTCCTTTAATAAATAATATTTCAATTACAGTAGGAAATAACCTAAGCATAGGCTATTTCCCAGCAGGTCAGGGTAACCCCCCAAAAAATACATTCACCTTACTTATTCAGTCATGTTACAGCAACCTTAAATGACCCTCATGTAATATATACAGGATTTAAACATACTCAGCCAATCAACCTTAACCATCACTCTTTCAAGAGCTTGTGTTACCAGGTCAAGGAGGACATTACAATTCAAACGAACCTCTAAATAATAACGTCCCCAATCCTTCAGATTGTCAACACTTAGCTTACTACTAATTCACTTGCTTTCAGAGAATAATTTTGTTTCTACTTGCTTGTCTAAACTCTATCTACATGCTATAACGCATAAAATGGGTTTTCCACCTACAAGAACCTTTCATGAATGCTTAATAAACACAGACAACAGGCCTTTTCAATTTATTAATTTCCTTGCCCTATCTGCAAATTCGTGTCATATTTGTACGTTACGTAGTAAGGATGTAAGAAGATACGATCTTAGAGCTGTTAATGGAATACACTGACGAATGAGTATTATAATCATGGAGGAGCGCTAAACCAGTAGGATTATACAGCACATCGGGGGATGGGGGGGATGAAAGGTATTCAGGCTCAATTCAGGGAACCGGAGCACTGATCCAGTTCCCTAGATCAAGAGCCCCTCACCAGCATCAAGGAACCTCCCTTGAGGGGCATTGACGTATTAGATACACCAAAAAGGGTACATTGAAATACATACACGAAATCCATCAGCTTAACAACTATCTAGGAAATTAGGAGAACATAACACCTGGCATAGGAAGGGGTTGGCTGGTAAATATTGTGCTATCCCTGGATTTGAATCTTCTCTGTGATTATATATACTAAACACAAAAGTTGTCTTTAGTTCTCTCTTTACATAAAGTAACTTGTCAGTGTTAATTTCAGTTGACCCCAGGCTGTTCTGGTGTACAGTAGGTGCATTGCTGTCAAACAGTGGTGGATGGAAGGAAGAAGCAGTCTGGCTGGATGGCATTTAGGATGACTGGCATTTATTTCAGCGAGGAAGTACCAGTCAGAGAGACATGAGTGTGGGGTGCGGGTTCTTCAGACGTGAGGTGCAGGTTCTTCAGACGTGAGGTGCAGGTTCTTCAGACGGGTGTGGGTTCTTCAGATGTGAGGTGTGGGTTCTTCAGACGTGGAGTACGGGTTCTTCAGACGTGGGGTGCAGGTTCTTCAGACGTGGTATTGACCGAGTAGTGAAGGGTGGAGGAGGCATCTAGAAGCCCAGGGCTCCTGAGACTAGCTGGCCGTGGTGGCATGTCTACTCTGTTGCTGACAACGTTGGCGATCCAGGCCACGTAGCGACTCACCTGAAGCAACAGTAAGTTTATTTAGTTACATAGATTATCATACATAGCACCATATGTGTAGAGAGCCTAGGATAACCCAAAAAAGCCAGACAGGGTGACTTATTTCCATTGAGAGATGGTATTAAGTTGGACATGTGGAGCAGCACAGATATTACTGTTAGGTGATTACCAGCTCCACCACCCTTACACGGTACTAAGGTGATCACCAGCACCACCTCACGTTACTAAAGTGACCACCAGCACCACCACACGTTACTAGAGTGATCACCAGCACCACCACATGTTACTAAAGTGATCACCATCACCACCAAACGTTACTAAAGTGATCACCAGCACCACCACCACATTACTAATGTGATCACCAGCACCACCACACGTTATATAAATTTCTTATCTGTAAAAAACAAACTTCCAAACACCAAAATTCATGATAACAATCACACTCGTCCCTAGCAGGAAAGCATTGACGATAGTGTATGGCTCTTGATACATGGAAATGGAACCAATCTTCTCTATGACTTTAATAATGAAGACATTGTATAAACAAGTGTTGCTTAACCTATTAGAAATAAGTGTTAAATCAGTTGTGTATATATGTGAAGGTTCTTGTATACATATGTGTACTGAGAAGCACTGTATGACCCTTGTGGGTTTAGCACTTAGTTTTGATCGTAACAATGTGTGTATTGTGGCACACACACACACATACAATCAAATTGCAAAGCAATTGCAAACAGGCGATCTTAACAATGCAAAACAAGCCACATGGGGATGGAAATCTTTAGCTCAAGATCTTTCGCATTCTCGTGCGTCGTCAGGAGCTATGCAGTGTTGCAAGAAGCAACAGGTAGGAAGGGAAATTCTCTAAGGCAAGGCAGAAGGTATCAGTGGCAGCCCATATATATGCTGCAAGTGTGTGTCCGTAACGTTCGTGCGCATCCGCGCGATTGTGTACTTGACTAATTGTGGTTGCAGAAGTTGATTCTCAGCTCCTGGTTCCACCTCTCTCCAGTTGTGTGTGTGTGTGCAAGAATGCCTGTGCATGTCATGAGTGAGTGTCTCTGTGCATATATATATATATATATATATATATATATATATATATATGTGTGTGTGTGTGTGTGTGTGTGTCTGTGTGTCTGTGTGTGTGTGTGTGTGTGTGTGTGTTGTGTGTGTGTGTGTGTGTGTGTGTGTGTTCTGTCTGTCTGTCTGTCTGTCTGTCTGTCTGTCTGTCTGTCTGTCTCTCTTACCTACTTAACATTCATTATACTTTGTTATATTTAAGGATTTTTCAGTACGCTGGTGGACACAAATACAAACTTCCCGTGAAGTCGCAGCTGAACCTAATGAGAAAAACAATGACCAATTATCTTAGTTTCTGCCTATTACCATAGGTGGCCTTTTTGGGGGTTATCCTCTGTAATTTACACATATGTTATTTCCATTCTTTTTTTTTTTCAAAACACCGGGTCTCCCACCGAGGCAGGTGACCTTAGTCATGGGTCATATTACTGGCAGTATTTTTTATAAGGTAAACTCTCAAGTCATGTAAGGCTGACGCAGCTGTCATGTATGTGCTGTGTACACACGAGTGTCGACATAGTATGTGCACCATTCTGATATAAAGGTTCTGTACACCACACTAAGGTATAGGCAATTTAATAAAGTTGGTAGAATTACCGACAATATGTAAAATAAAAGGACACAAGTGCAACTAATGTGACATTTATTGTGGCAACGTTTCGCTCTCCAGGAGCTTTATCAAGCCATTGATAAAGCTCCTGGAGAGCGAAACGTTGCCACAATAAAATGTCACATTAGCTGCACTTGTGTCCTTTTACTTTACAGAGGCAATTTACATCACTGGTGTAGAGGCAGTTTACAGTGCACATTACACAGATTTATAAGGTAGAGTGTTACCTACACTCTTCCTTTTAATGATTCTTCTGAAATTACTAGACAATTTACCTGTGTGATTGTGTACACAATATAAACATTATTTTTTTGTTAAATTCTCTTCATTAGGTACTCTACGAGCCATTATTGTGTGATCTCAACATGTGTTCCCCCAGAATCCTCTGACATGTTCATGTTAAGCTCTGTAAAGTTACTTGTAATTTTTGCTGAAGAAAGTTTACCTCAGTGTAAACTCCGGGCACATTTGGTCTGGCACAGCCGATGCCCCAGGAGACAATACCAGCTATGTAGTAGCGATTGTTGAAGCCTTGGCACACGAAGGGTCCCCCGGAGTCTCCCTGCAAGACTTGGTATTACTGTCTATAATTTATTATATTTGCCCAGTTACTTCTTAAATGATTTGTTTGGAGGTGTGCAAACCTTCCTAATTTGAAATTAACAATAAGTTATATAGGAAACTTTCAATAACGTTTCGAACCATCCTGGGAGGCCTTTTATCAAGTCTGAAAGTATATTAACTGTTTATGAAGGACCATAACATTGTTTAAAGCTTAGGTAGTGAGTTACAACCACGATAATATACATATTTATATTCAATACAATATTAAAAGTTTCTACACAAGATTAATTATGGGTTTAGTCAGTAGTGAAGTTTGCACACTGTAGCTCCTGGATAAGTTACCTGACAGGCGTCCATGTTTCCCTGTCTGTATCCCGCACACATCATGGTCTCAGCGATGGGGCCGTTGTAGCCGATAGACAGATAGCTGTCTTTACATCTGTCGTCGGTGATGATAGGTACCACCACCTTCTGCAGCCTGTCGGACGACGTCCCACCTTCCTTCTCCTTCCCCCACCCACTCACCACGCAGTGACCTGTGCAGGATTATTATAATTAAAAAGAAGCGCTAAGCCACAAGGGCTATACAGCGACCTGTGCAGGAAACTTACTGGTGGTAAAGAGGCAAGCATGACAAGACACAAGTTACAAAGGTAATGAACACCAGGTAGATCTGGTCACAATCATGACCAAGTTACAAAGGTAATAAATCATTACACGTCTATACATGGTTACAATCACGAACAAATTACAAAGTAATGAGCCATTCACACGTCCACACCCGGTCACAACTGTAATGAGTTATTGGTGCAAATATTAATTGGGTCACACACGAGCACACACACTCACCAGGTAGGTAGGTTGGTAGGCTTACTGGCCCTTACTTGGCAGGTCCTTGTCAAACACACCCCTCAAGGAAGGTTCATTGATGTTGGTGAGGGGCTCTTGATTTAGGGAATTGGATCTGTGCTCCAGTTCCCCGAATTAAGCCTGAATGTATTCCACATCCCCCCAAGGCGCCGTATAATCCTCCGGGTTTAGCTCTTCCCCCTTGATTATAATAATAATAACTTGTCAAACACAAACCCACCAACAAAAATATTCGCCCAACCCATTATCAATGTTACCCAAGGAATCAGCTTTGATAACCCTTTTAACTCAAGCGCAAGTCCCACTCAAATCACTCTCACTCGTGTATTTATTTAACCTATATTTGAAGCTAATAGACAGACTGTTCCGCTCATCGACTATAATTTCCAAACCAGTACTTTCCTATATCCTTTATAAATCTAAATTTATCCAATTTGAATACATTTTGAGTTCTTTCTAATGAGTATGGGTAAAACCTACTACCAAGATAATTAAACCCGCATCTAAAAAAAATAATGTTCTGACATATGCCAGATGGTTTTATTATGAACATTAAAATGGTATAAAATACCGACAGGTTGTTAGGTAAGACACATATGCAACAGTTAGGTATCTTTATTTCGAAACGTTTCGCCTACACAATAGGCTTCTTCAGTCGAGTACAGAAAAGTTGATAGAAGCAGAAGAGACTTGAAGACCATGTAATCAGTCCATCACCCTTGAAGTTTTGAGGTGGTCAGTCCCTCAGTCTGGAGAAGAGTATTGTTCCATAGTCTGAAACAATATGGAGTTGAAGTGACAGGATGGAGCCTTATATACCGCCCGGAGGTGAGATGTAGGCTACTAGTAGACGTAAGAATGTAGTCGTTGGGAGGTCATGTCCCTCTCAAATCCAGCCATACATGACCTCCCAACGACTACATTCTTACGTCTACTAGTAGCCTACATCTCACCTCCTGACGGTATATAAGGCTCCATCCTGTCACTTCAACTCCATATTGTTTCAGACTATGGAACAATACTCTTCTCCAGACTGAGGGACTGACCACCTCAAAACTTCAAGGGTGACGGACTGATTACATCGTCTTCAAGTCTCTTCTGCTTCTATCAACTTTTCTGTACTCGACTGAAGAAGCCTATTGTGTAGGCGAAACGTTTCGAAATAAAGATACCTAACTGTTGCATATGTGTCTTACCTAACACCATGGTTTTATTATCTTGAACGTAGATCAGAAGGTTACTTGTAGCTCGAAGTAATGGACGTCATAAACGTTAAATAAAATTATTTTGAAAATTAGCGATAAATCCACTAAAAACTCCGCAGTCCAAGTGACGAAAGAAATATGTACATTATGTAGAAGGCACTGAGAAGAAAAACCAACTAACTCGTCAGTCACTCTTGAAAAAATTTACAAACTTGCAATACTATCTCTGTAATTAAGCCTACAATTTTGACCAGTGGTCTAATTTTAAAGTCAATTTAATGAGCTTTAAGGTGGTATGGGAAGTTCTTCGATTTTCTCGAGAGAAAATTCATTGCATTTTTTTTTTTTTGCGGAGTAAAAGTGATAAACTCGCTAATCTTAGTGATGTATATAATACTTGAACGAATGATAAACAGCCTAGTACAGAACACGTAACCTTCGCTCACTGGCGAGTTCGCTGGTTTCAAAAACAGGAAGAACAGTAAAAAAAAGTTAGAATGTATTAGACGTTTACCTGCGTCTAATTCTTTCCAACTCTTTCGTTATGAGGCTGCTCTTATAACTTTCATGCCTCGTTGGGTTTCTTTTGAGCGCCTCATATCAAGAGAGAGAGAGAGAGAGACACCTGCCTGAGAAGTTGGTCATGGGAGGTGGCATGCAGATGGGAGACACAGTAACGCCGTCCATCTGGAGAGGAGCAGTCAGCTTGAGGAGGGCGATGTCATTCTCCTGGGTGGTGCTGCTGTATGCATTGTGTTCAACAATACGCTCGATGTATCTTGTCTGTTCGGTGCCTGCAACATACAACACAAATAGATCGCCCTACTACCTCATCTAGCACAATTTCTCATAGATCACATCTGCACAAATCATCACTTACACTGCCAAACCCTTCATCATGTAACATACATCAATGCTTTTAAAATACACTAGTGTTTGTAAGATACACCAGTATCTTGCAGAGACATTAAAAACACTTTTACAGTATTAGAACAATAAACAAATTAAATAGACTATAGAGTGAACTAGTGGAAACTGAAAACATTCATGGTTTAACAGTAAATTATGATATGTCGATGTTTTTGATAGAAAAATTATCAGGAAAAAAACTGATTCGAGTGTTTATCATTAGATGACCTAGTTAGTAGCACCAGGCCTATGGTGGAGTCATGTAGGGCGCTGGTGACTGGTGATGACCTAGTTAGTAGTACCAGGCCTATGGTGGAGTCATGTAGGGCGCTGGTGACTGGTGATGACCTAGTTAGTAGTACCAGGCCTATGGTGGAGTCATGCGAGGCTGGTGACTCCTAATACAGATGTGAGTGTAGGTTAGTCGATGTCCCTTTGTCGTATCCAGCAGAACGACTGATTACTTACAGGTCAGGATGAATCACATCAGCCAATTTAGCGTTAAAACGCCTAGCCTATGACGTGAGATTCAAAACCCGCTAAATAACGTAGGTATCTACACTACCATCTACAAACTCTACGCATATTCATACAATTTTTGTAGGAACAGTCAAGAATCCCGGAGAGACAGTCTGCTATGTGTAGTGTTATAGCATGCTCACCTTCCTTGTGCTTGAGCTGGTGTTCACCTGCCACTACAAGCAGGTCCTTAGGAGTGTACTGGTGCGTGCAGTGAGCAGCAGTGAGCACCCAGTTCTGGTCTATGACCGTGGCACCGCATACATGGTAGGTGTACCAGTCGTAGCGCCACTGTAGTGACACCTGCCATGGGAACTCGTCTGTTGATATACAAAGTCATACAGCATTATAATAATAATTTGAACTTTACATTAGGAAGTTAAGTATTCTTTAACAAACAATTATTAAAACTATCTGCATGATTTTTAAGTTTACTTTTAATATTATATAAAAGATACTTAATGAAAATGTGGACATTAATATCATGAAACACTGCAGTACTTTTATACAGTATAGGTGTTAAGTTTGTATGTGAAAAAATGGTATAAAACACCGATAAGTTGATGTATAAGACACATGAGCAACAGTTGGGTATCTTTATTGTTTGAAACGTTTCATGTATGCGGTAGACTTCATCAGTCAAATACAGAGGAGCATGTATTGTAGGTAACAGTAGTAGTGGCGAGGTTAAGATGAAGTAATCAGTCTACCAACCTTGCCAAGAGTTCAGCTTCATGCTCTGGAACGATAGGAAGCTGAAGCATGAGAATGGAGTTTTAAATACTGTCGAAGGTGAAGTGGAAGATCTCGAAGACGATGCAGGGGACGAGGTTCGTTAGTAGAAGAAAGAAGGCAAGAACTGAGGAGCACTGTAGCAAGCCTTCTGGCCTATGCTAGGTAGGTTCTTCTGGAATCCAATCTTTCGGTATTTTATATAATTTTCAGCATACTTGTCCCTCTGGATTCCAGAGGGACCTGCCCAGCATGGGCCAGAAGGCTTGCTGCAGTGCTCCTCAATTCTTGTCTTTCTTTAGTGAACCCGTCCCCTGCAACGTCTTCGAGATCTTCCATCTCACCTTCAACAGTATTTAAGATTCCATTCTCATGCAGCACCTGAGGAACAGAAGGTAATCAGGTCTGATATAAAGAAAAAGAGGGTAGCTCTAAATCCTTGAATCACGGTCTTTCAGTATAAATCGTCGTCAGAAGCCGAGTCACTCAGCTAACTGGCTAGGGATTAGCTATGTAGTTCAAGTAATATAAATGGAAAGTAGTGCCACATTTTCCTTAAATATACGCACGATGCTACGTACTGTGAGTTATTTCAGATTTACAGGTAAAAAAGATTGAATTCCTAAAATATTTAAAAACATTGTCATTGCTAGTGGAGAGCGTGTTGTCAGTGTACGAACACACAGGAACAATACAAGTGGAGGGGGGTGTCACTCACGGGTCTCGGCGGGTGAGCCTCCCACGATGCGGGTGATGATGTCTGGCACTGCACTGTGGCGGATGCCACAAACCTGGCTGTTACGTTCCTCCCCCAAGCCCGCCAGCCTAGAGTGTACATAAGTCGGTCAGAGGAGGCAAAAGGTATATTCCTAGGCCCACACCCAGTCAAATTAAAATTCACCATACACACTTGTCAAGGAAAGTTACATAAACAGTGAGCATTCTTTTAAAAATACACGTCACATGTAAGCTGATATAATAAAAATTCACTCATGCTGTCATATATATGTCATTAATAATAATGTTCCACACCATCTTATCTCTTCGCAATCATTTGTGAATACTGTCCTAGTTTAAAACTGCGGGAGCTTATACTGCTGGGGTCTACACAGGCCGATGCTGATACTGTAAGAGGAAGTACGTGGGAGAAACTAGAAAGAATCTGTCCATCAGACCGAGCGAACATAAATATACATGGAGTAGGGACGACCAGAGCATTAAGTGTATTCAGGTACACTGGTACAACTACACATACAGTTACATAATTTGTCACACATAGCAGCATATATGTAGATTAAATAGGATAACCCCAAAAATGTCAGACAAGGCGACTTATTTCCATTGTGGGTCCTTATAATATCTTATTTAAACCTTAACTCATTTGTTACCCACAGGAACATTTGTGGAACACTTGGGTATCTTTAGTTTCGCCAGCCAATGGCTTCCTCAGTCCAACACAGAGAAGAATGGTGGAAAATCAGAAGTTTGAGGTACTCAGTCCCTCAGCCTGGAGTCGATGTAAATGACTTTAGGATAAGGGACTGATTACTTCTACAGACCTTGGCCAGGAATGGAAAGCCAGGCCGAACAACGATCAGTTTCCAGGGTAAAGCCACCTACCTCACCCAGGGTGGGGGAGGGACTTTACTCTCCAGTAAGGAGGGTAAACTCCCTCTCCACCATCCAGGGTGGAGAAGTCACCTTCACCAAGCCTAATGGAGAAGTCGCCTCCACCATCCAGGGTGGAGAAGTCACCTCCGCCAGGGAGGATGGAGAAGCCACCTCTACAAGCCAGAAGAGTGAGCTCTCTTCAGAGAGTTGAAAACAAATGCATCATTCCGCAGGTAATTTTAGCTATTTTCCATGTATATAAACACGAAAAAAAAAAATTCTTCATTTACATTAATTCTTGCCAGAACAGTTGACAAAAGACAGCACTATGTAACTCTCAAGTTTCACAAAAGAAACTTAGGACATTGCCTCACTGAGCCAATACAGCGAGGGACGCTTCCCATCTCGGTATGTCGTGATTGTATCCTTCACATTCCTATTTTATATTTTATGGCGTCCTCCAGTGAGCTGTGACGGCTAAGGCATGCATGACAGTTCCAAACATCAGGACATATACGGTGGGAATTCCTCTGCTGAATCTGGTACTACAAGGTGATGCTGAATAAGGTGATTTGCCCGCTCTTCTCTCTCATATTGAAAGGAAGGCGGCGATCTGCTAGGAATCACACGAATAAAAAAAAAATCTCTTAGCATCAAAATTAATTAAGATAGTGCTACGTGAAGCTCTCTTGAGTTTACTGCCAATACCATGAGAGTTAATAATTACACTGAAATCAGGGTGGAGGAAATTTCCAATGTCTTTTTGTGTTTCACGTGAGTTATGTACCAGTTATCATTCAGTGTTTCACGTGAGTTATGTACCGATCATTTATGTTTTCACGTGAGTTATGTACCAGTTATCATTCAGTGTTTCACGTGAGTTGTGTACCAATTATCTTTCAGTGTTTCACGTGAGTGAAAAAAAAATGGAAAACTGAATGGAGTAAGGCCCGGGTAGTCGTCTTGAGAGGGAGTGTTGGCTCTGGAAGATTCGGCGATTTTCCCATTTCCCCTTAGGAATTGGGGGAAAATCGGCCGAATCTTCCAATGAAATCAGCCAAGGTGCAATAGAAGCTGTATCGTCAGAGATTGATGAAGTTTACACCACATGTAATGTCTGCCTCCCAGAGTATTAATTCTCACTACAGGTATGTAAATTTGTATTGACCAATATAAATTACCTACCAAAAGTGAGGCGTTAGGATATGATGCCAAATCTTAATTTGGTGAGTTATATGGAAATCTCCTTTATACTTTTTAATGTAATTTATTTATATTAAATTACCCAAGCAAATTACGCAGGTCAAGTAATTGATATTACCAAATATACAGTCGACACATGTGTCAGTGTTACTGGCAGAAATTTTCATATAATTTTAAGAACTATATGTTGTAATAATTGAAAGTCCAGACGTATGAGACGTGATGACGTGAGGTGGTCAGGAAGGTGGGATAATATAGTGACCTGGTGACCTTAAAGCCCAACTTGACTCTGAGCTACATCAACATCAGTAAGTGTAAACTGTCTGATGTAAAACAGTTTCTTCACAATTAAGGGGGTGAAATAATTCGGGACATTGCCTGTAAAATTTACACGCATAATTTCTCACAAGTTATACACCGGTTGTCTTTGTGTTTCACGTGAGTTATATACCAGATGAGATAAACAAGGTCAACCTTCGGAGTTATTTAAATGAGTTTTTGTATGAAAGTATTATGACCATGAAACGTGAAACCTACACATACACATTATATATATATATATATATATATATATATATATATATATATATATATATATATATATATATATATATATATATATATATATAATATATATATGTCGTGCCGAATAGGCAGAAATTGCCATATTGGCTTAAATAGCAACGTTCATCTTGCCATATAGGACAAGTGAAAATTTGTGTATGCAATAATTTTGCCAAAATCATTCTGAACCTAACGAAAAAAATATATTTCACTGTGTTTGTTTAGTATTAAATTATTGTAAACAAATCTAAAATATATTTAGTTGGGTTAGGTTAAAATAAATTGTTCTTGTTATAATAAGGTTAGGTAAGTTTTCTAAGATTCTTTTGGTGCAAAATTAAATTTTTTTACATTAACATTAATGAAAAAAATATATCTTTAAACGCATAAGAGAAAATTTTAGAAAGGACTTAATTTTAAATGAGTTCTTGCTAATTGACCAGTTTTACATATTCGGCACGACATATATATATATATATATATAATATATATTAATATATATATTATATATATATATATATATATATATATATATATATATATATATAAATATATATATATATATATATATGTCCTGCTAGAAGTCACATCCTGGGTAAATTGCAAATGGGAAAAATGGTTCTAGATAAGCTGGAAATGTGCAAGTGTTGGGAAAAAGGAATTTACGCATTGCGTTAAATCTTATAAGCAAAATTCTTGTTGCTAAAGGACATGACGATGTTCATCTCCTTTCATTACACGGCACGAGAAGTGAAATGGAGAACATGTGGTGATGGATTTAATTTCACTGAAGTCCGTCACGATTTCCTCTCACTGTTCAGTCAAGGAGCCACTCATGGTTGAAGATGGTCAACACTTGTATTGAAGGGGATGTTGGTGGTCTGGACTTAGTATAACCGGGTTAGAAACACTGGAAAAATTACACTCAAAATGTTTGGTAAATGGTCACAGATACAACTAATATGGCATTTTCTTGGGGCAACGTTTCGCTACCCAGGAGCTTTGTCAAGCTAGACAAAGCTCCTGGAGAGTGAAACGTTACGACACTAAAATGTCACATTAGTTGATGTGTGTCTATTTACCTAACAACAAGATTAGCAGCGCTACTGTGGTATATCACCAGGTTCTCAGAATGTTCCTCTCAGGCTATTCCAACTGACCAAAAATATTTGTTGTAGGCTCCCAACCGTCGTACCTGCTGTAGTGATAATACAAGATGCAGGTTAAATACACAATTTACAGAGAAGTGAGCTGAAAGGGATGATATTCCAACAGATTTATATAGTTTTTATATAACCAGCATTAATTAAATCACACCTAGACCCAGCTATTTAGTATTTTTGACTGCTCTCTTGGTTCAAGTACCTAAGTGTATTACCTGGTTTTCCTGTTGACTGGTATATTACAATAATTAGAGCTGAGTACAGGATCTCTGGTAACATCCTGGCATTATGCTATACCAAAGTGACGTAATAACTATTGATTTTTTTATTGAGTAAGTCGGAATGAATTTTGGTGTCTGGGTATTATCTTGAATCAGTCTTTTTTCACGAGGATAGTAAGGTTCTAGAGGTGTCCTGCTTATCAAATACCTGCGTTAGCACTTTTACATGACCAGGAAAACCTATCAAAGATGCCTGCTATTTATTTTGCTATATATGATGCTTCAGTAACCTTTGTTATGGTGCAGCTCTTCATTCAAATTCTTAGTTATGCTGAGGAAGTGGCTGTGTTGCTCCACTCAGGAGGAACATTTAAAGATTGTTTCTTGTGAGGAATAAGAGTATTTTTTATACTAATTTTTATGGGTACACTAGGTTTTGACCGTCAGTGCTCCATATCATCCCGGGGGAGAATTATTAGCGTTTACCTACTAGCCAGGGTAAGCCAGTAGTGTCACTACTCCCGACTCTTCTCCTGGTCAGTAGTCCTCGGGTTTCCTCATTACTTAAGTTACCTGCACTGACATAAGTTTAATTTGGCTACTCTTGTCTCTACGCTATAATCTGTGTCCTCTGGTAACCTACATTTTCCTAGGCAGTAGGACTGGCGTCGAGTCGCTCCCATTTATGGACTTCGAGGAGCTGTCTTCGCAGTAAGGCCGAAGCTCCGTTTCCGATCGTAGGCTGAAGCTAAGAGACGGATTTCCTGATCAACTCTTCTAGCCTCGACATCAACTAGTTGGGGTACTAGCAAGATAGTCTGAACATATGACTTGACCAGAGCTCCATTCCGAGCACTGGATAACATCTAAGATACGACTGTCTTGGTCGAATCTACCAGCCTCAACATTACCTAGTTGTAAATGGAAAAACTGTTCGCAACCTCTCTGACTTCGACCGTATTCTACATATCAACACCAGAGCTTTCAAAATACTGCCAATTTATCCGTTGTGAAATTTGGTCACCATAATCTTTTTAAATTTTGTTTCAGTTAAGTTGGCCAGACATATTTTTCTATTTACTAAAATAAACTTTCCTTTTCTCTCTCTCGAATTTTATATCCCCTTTGATTATTAATTGGTTACGGTTTTTCTGTTTTCCTAAAGGAAGGAACTTGGAGACTTTAACTTCATTTTAGGTTCCATTGCTCACTCTTGTGGCGTGTGGTCCGGATAGGGAAACATAAGGGGTTCCCTTGCAGCGCATCGGCTTCGGGGAGGTGCTCAGTGATGGTTGGGGGTCATTGGTGGTTGGGGGTGCAGTGATGGGTGGTGGTTCAGTGATGGTTGGGGGGGTACAGTGATGAGTGGTGGTTCAATGATGGGTGGTGGTTCAGTGATAGGTGGTGGTTCAGTGATGGTTGGGGGTTCAGTGATGGGTGGCGGTGATTCAGTGATGGGTGGTGGTGGTGGTATCTATCATGTTTAAACAAGTGACTCTTCATTTTAACTCAAACAACGCTGAGTTCTCTATAAATATCACTAGATTTTTTAAGCAGCTACCAGTCAAGATCTGGTAAATACTATTTATTCTAATAGCAACCACATATGGCAGTATACACCAGCAGTACTATATACCTGTTTTTCAATTCAATTCAATTCAAAGTTTATTCTCTATAAGGATTACAATGCTGAGTTTACAGAAATTTGGTTATTGTTTGGTTTACATGTAGTAAAATTGTGATTACAGAGTGTACCACTAGAACGCTTAGCATGGCTAGGCATTTCGGGCATACTTAGTTTTATTCTTAATTGTAAAATATTACAAATTATGAGGTAAGTTGGTATTATGGCTAAGTGACTAAATACTAGTTTGTGAGTTTAGCAATGTGAATGCTTTTGTTTTGGCACAGTATATAGTTTCAGTATTGGAGTATCACAGGATTCATTATTTTAAGACTGAGATTAATATTTCTGTTTATGGTCAAATGAGTGAGCGAGTGTAAGTGTGAACCACCAGGTGGTATTCGTGTAGTTAGTTGACGGGGTGTATCAGGGAGATAAGATGTTTTCTAATGGTAGTTTTGAAGGTGATGAATGTGTCTGCAGTTCTAGAGTTCTCAGGTAGGGTATTCCAGATTTTAGGGCCTTTGACATACATTGAATTTTTGTAAAGGTTTAGTCGGACACGGGGAATGTCGTAGAGATGTTTGTTTCTGGTGTTATGCCTGTGGGTTCTGTCACAACCAGCAGGTGTAGTATTGTACACCAGCAGGCACAGTAGCAGTATTCTACATAAATACGTACAGAAGTAGTATTATAAATTGAGATCTGGTCTGGTTCCTGTACCTCTGATGTATCTGGTTTCTTCAGCTGTATTATTTAATCGTCATCTGTGACAGATTTTTGGTTTAGAATTGTACTGTGAATACTTTTTTGGATTCCTTTATTGCTTTCCTCAAACAGTTTCATGTCAACACAACCCACACTTAAGAGAATGGAACTCATGACGCTTGTCGATCCAACTTGGACCATTAGCAATCACCCAGAAACGAAAAGGAAGGGAAGCCAAAATATGAGATGGGGCGGTAGAAGGGAGTGGTAAAATGGAAGGGTGTGGTAGTAGGAGTGGTAATGGTAGAACTAAGGTGTAGTAGTGGAAAACAAAAAAAAATTGGCTGAAAGTGAAGCATTAGTGAAGAAATAGTAGTAGCAAAAGTGGAAGTAGTCCATGAAACACTTAACAGAAGGGCACTGCAGTAGACCTACTGGCCCACGGGCGTATGACAAAATCCCTCATGGGACAGAACCCTCCTAGTCAGAAGACAGAAAGCTCAAGAGGAAATATAGAAAAGATGAAGAGGCAAGGAGAGGAGGCGACAAAAGTCAGGTCAAGTCAAGAATGTCCTGAGGTTAAAAGCATTTAACAATGTTATGAGAAAGGAGCATCAATAGGGACAAAACCAGGGCTAAGATTTATATTAGGAAAGTTGTGTATAAGGGATCCTTCAACAAGACGGCGTCTGTGAAGGGTAGAAGGACAGAGACAGCAGGAAGAAGGATAAACAAAAACACATTTCTTGAAAGAGAACATGGTAAGAAAAGTATTAAATGTACAGGCTACTGTGCACTGGCTTGCGATAAACGAAACAAAAAAAAAAAGACTGTCGCAGAATGACGGACATGTGTATCGAGGAAAGGAAGAAGAGAGATTACCATTCAGCTTTGAACTTGATGGAAGGTGCAAGATTAAGTGCAGCGATAAATGGTTGGCATACAATAAAGTCAGGTGGCCAAAGAGCAAATACATCGTCTACATAGCGAATCCAGAGAAATGGGCGCACACCAATAGTGGGAAGTAAAGTAGTTTCGAAATATTCCATATAAAGGTTAGCAAAAACAGGGGATAGAGTCCATAGCAACACTAAAGGTTTGGGAATAAAATTTACCTTGAAGTGAAAGTTCACACAAAGGCGAATAAGACCAAGAAAGACATCAGTAGGTACAGGGAGATGAAGTAACCCTTCATTGGCCTTCACTCGGAGAAAATTGAGAACGTCAAGAGGCAGAAATTCAGATCATTCTGCTTATTTATCACTCTGAAATTGGAGATATATTTCCTAACTAATGTTTTTTTTTAAGAGCTTCCATCCATCCCTCTTCAATTATTGCTTTAATTCCAAACAGTCTGCCCTGCCCAAATTCCTTATAAGTGTCTTGTACATCAATATTATGTCCCAAACCATACCCCCGGCCGGGATTGAACCCGCGGTCATAGAGTCTCAAAACTCCAGCCCGTGTCATTACGATTTCTTGAGTAATATTGTCTCCCATGATCCTTCCCTCTTTTAAGGTTATATTCATTTCCTTAACCTATCACCAAAGCTCAAATCTTTGTCCTGGGATTGGTTTCATTGGGAATCTTGTCCAATTCGAGATTCGGATCCAGAACTTCTTGGCTGTGAACAGACTGCCATGACATGGAGCTACACAACACAGAGGAAGGGGGAGGTATATATATATGGAATATTTAACAGTCAGTACTAAAATTGGAAAGAGTTGAATACGAAGGGGTATTAACATTGAAATGCAAATAATTAAAATCCGCCATTGTGGTAAATGGGTGAGACTTACGCTTCCCTGGTGGGTGGGATAAGGATGGCAGCGCGAGGCTGGGGTTGACCTGCTGGAGCTCCTCCTCCTCCTCCTTGATTCGCCGGTACTCTCCCGGTCCGGGTCTTTTCCAGATGGTGACCCGGCCTTGGCTCCCTGTCCTGGGAGTGTCGTGAGACTGCCATCCCCGCTGCTACCACCACTACACTGCCTGCTGAGGTATAGAGGAAGCTTGTTAAGCTTTTATTTAGGACAGTCTATAAAACTTTTACATGAATGTTGAGGGCATGATACACACTCAGTAAATTATGCAGATTTAACATAGAATAAGATAGTCAGTATCACTTGTTTCCTTTACCTGGAGTATACCTGGAGAGGGTTCCGGGAGTCAACGCCCCCGCGGCCCGGCCTGTGACCAGGCCTCATGGTGGATCAGGGCCTGATCAACCAGGCTGTTACTGTTGGCCGCACGTAAACCAACGTACGAGCCACAGCCCGGCTGGTCAGGTACTGAATTTTGGTGCTTGTCCAGTGCCTGCTTGAAGACAGCCAGGGGTCTATTGGTAATCCCCCTTATGTATGCTGGGAGGCAGTTGAACAGTCTTGGTCTCCTGACACTTAATTTGTTGTCTCTTATCGTGCTAGTGGCACCCCTGCTTTTCATTGGGGAGATGTTGTATCGTCTGCCGAGTCTTTTGCTTTCATAAGGAGTGATTTTCGTGTGCAAAATAATCCTTCTAGGATTTTCCATGTATATATAATCATGTATCTCTCCCGCCTGCGTTCCAGGGAATACAGGTTCAGGAACCTCAAGCGCTCCCAGTAACTGAGGTGTTTTATCTCCGTTATGCGCGCCGTGAAGGTTCTCTGTACATTTTCTAGGTCAGCAATTTCACCTGCCTTGAAAGGTGGTGTTAGTGTGCAGCAATATTCCAGCCTAGATAGAACAACTAACCTTTGTGGTTATAGATTATTTAATGAAACAGGAAAATTTAGGACGTTAATATTTAAATTTAAGAATTTAATTCATGAAAATATTTTAATCATTGAAGGCACCGTTGACGTCGCTACACCGATTTCTCCTCCACTGTGTACATTCTCACGTTAAACAATTATATAGTTTAGCACTGTCATTGAAGGGAAGTGGAAAATTTTGTAATTAAGAATGAAGTAACTGAACATGGGTGTAAATCAAGTTTACAGAAACAGCCAGCAATTCCATGGACTTGCTGGCTTTCACTATAGTGTAGATATATATGGTCACAGGGGAGTTTTCCAGAGTTAAGATGGAGGTCCGACACACCACAGTGTAGTCAGATTCCCAGGTGATGAACCGAGTACAACATACACTACAGGAACGGGGGAGGGGGGAAGGATGGACCGACAGAAGGACGCATGTTGACCGAGGAAGGTGTGGCGCTCAGCATCCCAGCAAGACCTTGAAGATGTTAATAACCCTCAAGACATCCATTGTGAATTTGTCACCTCCTATTCGAGGAATATACTAAAGCATTTCACCTGGCACTTTCAAAAAAGAACTGGCCGCTCCACCTGAAATCGAACGAAGTGCATACTCACTGACTTGTCACATGATGACTTGTTCATTGATTAAGCATCATCATTCTGGCTCTGGGTATCAGTGATTAAGATACCGTTGTCTTACTGGTGTTACATACTCGTAGTTAAGCTTCCGCTGGTCTCCATCCCATTTAAAATGCGAAGGAACACATTTTAACTAACAAAGGGTGGAGTTTGAACCCTTGGTAAACTAGTTTTAAAAGTAGAGCTAATTCACTAACCTACGTGTATTTGTATACACACTGGAAAGATTAGCATTGGCTCTACTGTTATTTTTACTCAGTTACTTCATAAGTAACTACAGGATATAAAGTTCCTGGTACTTCACTCAGCCATCAAGGGAGCTGTCTCCCTCCGCCTCTGGTTCTCGAAGTTAGTAACTGCAGCTCCAAACTTTAGAAATGGAGGAAAAATTCTTCGAGGACATCAGTCACTTCCAAATGATCACGTTCTTCCCGCTCACGATGCAGTGAGCAAGGTGGTGGACTCTTGGAGCATTTTACAGACGGTTTCTTGTTTTGTTGTATGCTCTCCTGGAAAACAAGGAAGGTCCACTGAAACTCCCCTCCTCCTCCAGTGCTTAGTTAATCCAGGATACCTACATGGATTCCTGAAATTCGTCCCTCTTAATTGATAGCTTATTTACCAAAGAGAACAGGTCCGCCAGGCGATGTCAAACGGAGCATTTAATCCGACAAGATCAATACAGTTTCACCTTCTCTATATGTATAAATATTATAGAAGGAACACTACATCTTGAACGCTTCATACGTCATGTGGGCAACTTTCCCCACAGTGCGACACCACGCAACTCCCATACAGGAGTGGGTGGAGTCAAACCCCCGAGTCACACACCACACAGGTGTTTAGAAAAGCCATGCCTCTGATCTTTTGGTAACTAACCCCGTGACTCTTGAAACACTACATCAGCAAGAAATGTCCAAATCCCTCCAAGATATGTGCAGACTGAGGTCTGGCAGTCAAACACACGAACTAGTAAATTGGCATTTCCATGAACACAGTGAGCGCTCCAGTTTATCTACCGTATGACAACCATATTCTTGAACATTAAAATGGTATAAAATACCGACAGATTGTTAGGTAAGACACATATGCAACAGTTAGGTATGTTAGGTAAGACACATATGCAACAGTTAGGTATCTTTATTTCGAAACGTTTCGCCTATACAGTAGGCTTCTTCAGTCGAGTACAGAAAAGTTGATAGAAGCAGAAGATACTTGAAGACGATGTAATCAGTCCATCACCCTTAAAGTTTTGAGGTGGTCAGTCCCTCAGTCTGGAGAAGAGCATTGTTCCGTTGTCTGAAACAATATGAAGTTGAAGTGACAGAATGGAGCCTTATATAGTGCCAGGAGGTGAGACGTAGGTTGCTTTGGGAGAACGGCTGGGTTTGAGAGGGACCTGCCCTCCCAAAGCAACCTACGTCTCACCTCCTGGCACTATATAAGGCTCCATTCTGTCACTTCAACTTCATATTGTTTCAGACAACGGAACAATGCTCTTCTCCAGACTGAGGGACTGACCACCTCAAAACTTTAAGGGTGATGGACTGATTACATCGTCTTCAAGTATCTTCTGCTTCTATCAACTTTTCTGTACTCGACTGAAGAAGCCTACTGTGTAGGCGAAACGTTTCGAAATAAAGATACCTAACTGTTGCATATGTGTCTTACCTAACAACCATATTCTTAAGGAGTTAAATAACCTTCTAAAGTTCATATTTAAGCAATCAGCATATTATTGTCCAATGGCACATCCAGGAGCCCTCCATATACTAGAAGTCAAATTTGTCTTGGATAAGAAGGCTTAATCACAGAATTTTCTTCGGATATCTGGTATGTTAGGCCGCAGGACCTTCCAATATTAGAACATAAGAAAATAAGAATGGAGGAACATTGCAGAAGGCCTACTGGCCCATGCGAGGCAGGTCCTTATCAAAACGACCTCTACCCAAAGCTACCCAAGAAATAACTCCCGTACCCAATGACACCAATCAAACCCAGCCCCTCCCACTCACATATTTGTCCAGTCTCTTAAAGCTACTCAAGGTCCTAGCCTCTATCACTCAACTGGGAAGACTGTTCCACGCATCTACAACTCTGTTAGAGAACCAGTACTTACCTATGTCCTTTCTAAATCTAAATTTATCTAACTTAAATCCATTATTTCTGGTTCTTACCTGGTTCTACACCCTCAATACCTTATTAATATCTCCTTTGTTCATGTCTGTCATCCACTTATACACCTCAATGATATCTTCTCTCATTCTACGATACTTTGGAGTGTTACTAAAAGATACACAATGCTAAACGTAAAACTGAATCACGAAAGTACTGGTATTGTTCATTAGTTGATGTAGAGTATTGTAGACAGTTCCAAGCACTCGTTTTACCCCCACATCTTATACATGGAAATAAATGGTATAAAATACCGACACAATGGCAATATAAACACAAATGCAGTATAATGTGATCCTTTATTGACTACGTTTCGCCCACACAGTGGGCTTTTTCAAGTCACAAACAGAACTACCTGGGGTGGAAGGAACGCGAGTATTTATAGTCCAGCTGAGGTCAGGTGAAGAATGCTGCATCTGATGATGTACCGAGTGGGGTTATAGTCTAAAAACTTGGGTAGCTTGGAAAGGAGACTGGAAAAGTTTGTGAGCAGACCTTCTACAGTGTTCTTATGTGGGATAGCGATGAAGAAGTTTCTTGGCAAGTGGTTCAGCTATGTTATAGAAGCCACTATTCTGGTTGAAGTTGTCGGATATAGAAATGAGTGATGATTCCAGGATTCTTCGGTATTGAGTGTTGTCTTCTGTGGCGATAAGTCTTGAGTTTCTGTAGTTTATCAAGTGGTTGTGTGAATTACGGTGTTGTACGCAGGCATTCCTTGTGTCGTCAGATCTGCTTGCGTATTGGTGTTCTGAAATACGTGTTTGGAGGTCCCTTGATGTTTCGCCCACGTATAACTTGTTGCAGTCATTACAAGGGATTATGTATACCCCTGCAGAGGATGGAGGCTTGTCCTGCCTACTACTGGTGATGTCCTTGATGGTCGTGGTTGTGGAGGTAGATACTTGGAATGATGTTTTGGCAAAGATGTTTTAGACTATAACCCCACTCGGTACATCATCAGATGCAGCATTCTTCACCTGACCTCAGCTGGACTATAAATACTCGCGTTCCTTCCACCCCAGGTAGTTCTGTTTGTGACTTGAAAAAGCCCACTGTGTGGGCGAAACGTAGTCAATAAAGGATCACATTATACTGCATTTGTGTTTATATTGCCACATCTTATACATACTGATCACATAGCTTTAAAATTATTATTATTATTATAATGGTTGTAGTTGTTATATTTAGGGGAAGCGTTGATCTCGTAGTGGTTGGTGTTAGAACGCCTGAAAAGGGAGTCAATATAAATGCATGTCTCCCGTGTAAAATAGGCAGGGTACTTGACCTCTGGAGGGTCACAGCGTACCCTGACTCAGCACTGCAGTTCTGCGTCAACATGGACCCTCAGTAATAAAAGATACGTACCAGAGTGGCATATTTTTATCTTGTTAAAATTTTACCAGGAGATGCGTTATAATTTTTTTCCACTTTTGT